ATTGATGCTTCGATCGACAGTGCATAAACCCTTGTCTGGTCTCAAGCTGTACTCGGCATCGCTGAGAAACAGTTGCCATGTGACAGAGCTGCCTAAGCCTTGGCAGGGCAACGAGGACAGCAGATGAATATTGTGTTGTAAGAGTCCCTTTTAGGCCGATTTGATGAGGTTTTGAACTTAATCTGGTGGGTGATTACTTATCTGAACAGACTTGGATCAGATTATATTTTCTCCTCTGTTTCGTACATCCAAGCGCTGTATATTGGCCTAAATTAATCTAATTTCACACCCTCTTATTGTGTTTTGTCTATTCCCCTGCGGGAAGGATGGATGTCTATATTAAGTCGCTAGCTCACGAAACACACCACTACTTAACCATTCACCCAAAATGTGGAATCTAATACTGAGCAGGAATTAAAGTACCCCTCAGTTTCTACAGAGGCAGTGGGTTGGCTAATTCACGTACACTGCTCAAAAAAATAAAGGGAACACTAAAATAACACATCCTAGATCTGAATGAATGAAATAATCTTATTAAATACTTTTTTCTTTACATAGTTGAATGTGCTGACAACAAAATCACACAAAAATTATCAATGGAAATCAAATTTATCAACCCATGGAGGTCTGGATTTGGAGTCACCCTCAAAATTAAAGTGGAAAACCACACTACAGGCTGATCCAACTTTGATGTAATGTCCTTAAAACAAGTCAAAATGAGGCACAGTAGTGTGTGTGGCCTCCACGTGCCTGTATGACCTCCCTACAACGCCTGGGCATGCTCCTGATGAGGTGGCGGATGGTCTCCTGAGGGATCTCCTCCCAGACCTGGACTAAAGCATCCGCCAACTCCTGGACAGTCTGTGGTGCAACGTGGCGTTGGTGGATGGAGCGAGACATGATGTCCCAGATGTGCTCAATTGGATTCAGGTCTGGGGAACGGGCGGGCCAGTCCATAGCATCAGTGCCTTCCTCTTGCAGGAACTGCTGACACACTCCAGCCACATGAGGTCTAGCATTGTCTTGCATTAGGAGGAACCAGCATATGGTCTCACAAGGGGTCTGAGGATCTCATCTCGGTACCTAATGGCAGTCAGGCTACCTCTGGCGAGCACATGGAGGGCTGTGCGGCCCCCCAAAGAAATGCCACCCCACACCATGACTGACCCACCGCCAAACCGGTCATGCTGGAGGATGTTGCAGGCAGCAGAACGTTCTCCACGGCGTCTCCAGACTCTGTCACGTCTGTCACGTGCTCAGTGTGAACCTGCTTTCATCTGTGAAGCGCACAGGGCGCCAGTGGCGAATTTGCCAATCTTGGTGTTCTCTGGCAAATGCCAAACGTCCTGCACGGTGTTGGGCTGTAAGCACAACCCCCACCTGTGGACGTCGGGCCCTCATACCACCCTCATGGAGTCTGTTTCTGACCGTTTGAGCAGACACATGCACATTTGTGGCCTGCTGGAGGTCATTTTGCAGGGCTCTGGCAGTGCTCCTCCTGCTCCTCCTTGCACAAAGGCGGAGGTAGCAGTCCTGCTGCTGGGTTGTTGCCCTCCTACGGCCTCCTCCACGTCTTCTGATGTACTTTCCTGTCTCCTGGTAGCGTCTCCATGCTCTGGACACTACGCTGACAGACACAGCAAACCTTCTTGCCACAGCTCGCATTGATGTGCCATCCTGGATGAGCTGCACTACCTGAGCCACTTGTGTGGGTTGTAGACTCCATCTCATGCTACCACTAGAGTGAAAGCACCGCCAGCATTCAAAAGTGACCAAAACATCAGCCAGGAAGCATAGGAACTGAGAAGTGGTCTGTGGTCACCACCTGCAGAACCACTCCTTTATTGGGGGTGTCTTGCTAATTGCCTATAATTTCCACCTGTTGTCTATTCCATTTGCACAACAGCATGTGAAATGTATTGTCAATCAGTGTTGCTTCCTAAGTGGACAGTTTGATTTCACAGAAGTGTGATTGACTTGGAGTTGCATTGTGTTGTTTAAGTGTTCCCTTTATTTTTTTGAGCAGTGTATTATGCCTATCTGAGGCTTATGCGGGTAATCAGACAGTCAAAAGGCCATTAGAACTCTCTTTTCATCCACTCTGAGTCACTTAACTTGGGATTCCCACTCTGTGACGCGTGATGAGAGGAAAAGTAAACTGACGTCCACTTCCTAAGGGATTATCAGCAGACTTTGACCGAGTCATTCATCTGACGACTTTGAGTGAAAGATATTGATGCTGTTCCATTGAAGACTGAGGTATTGATGCAGCTTTGTTTGTTTGTCGTGTTGGGTTTGTCCTCCCATTGACTGGCTGTGCTATCTGCTCTGTTGAGGCCAATGGCTAAAGATACACACCAATGCCAGTCCTTTTGGGAGTGGAGGAGTGTTGTACCTTGAGCTCCATTGTCTATTGTTGTTTGAGGTTTCTCTTCTCCAGTCAGAACCACACTGAAATGGGCTAATGTAAAGAGCTGTAGCATTGTCCACTTTATGTTCCTGATTTTGAGTTTCCACTCACTGATAACCTGCCTTTGGTTTTATTGTGTTCATATCCGGCTGAGTTTTTCTCCTGCAGATTCTCTTCCTCTGTATATGAGCTTTCCTGTAATATGCACTCCCATTCCCAGTCATCCCACTCAGCAGAAAACAGCATGGCAGATAGCAGTGAACACAGAGTACCGTCAGGGTCTTGTTTAGAAGAGCCATTGTCACCACAACTCCCCATTGGATAGTGCTTTAGTGTTGCCCTACTGTCTCACTGCTGAATGCTAGGGAGTAGGGACAAGCAGAGGTGCTGTGGGAAGTAGGGCTCATGGATCCCTTCTATTGCGCTAAAAGTTTGTATGTGACATCATAAAGGCAGTTAGACGGGACAGGTTTTGTGTTGACTTTATCTACTGTTTGTCTCAGACTCAGATATTTAAGCATGATGGCTACTTTAGTATCCCATACACTCAAGGGGCTTTGCTAGCCTATAGCACTGAACTACTTCAGGAGAAGAAGGCTTTGTTCCGACAGTCTGAAAGGGAATCTTTTGCTGTCTCCTTTCCTGTGTTTCCTTTCCTTCGTGATCTCTGATCTAACTGGATAGGCGTGGTAGTGGGCGTGGCCGACAGGACTGTTTTAAAGGCTCTCCTCTTGGCTGCAGAGACAGTGTTGCTGTTTTTAAGCTAATTTCCTGCAATTCTACACATTTGTCATGTGGCTGAGAGGGAATTCCATTTTAAAGCAAATTTCAAGCAATTATACACATTTTGCCATGGCTTATGTCTTGTTCTTATGCTATCTGAGTGCTTCAAACATTATAACAAAGTCAATGGGGGGCCCATGCCATGATGTTTTTGTAATTTCAGATTCTCCCTGGCTGTCAAGTTTCAATTTGTGATTGTTAGTTCTCAAAGATGATCTTATTTAAAAATGGATTGCTCCATGATCTGTTTTACATATTTTATATCTGGTTTTATTGGTTTATGTTTACACTGGGCCTCTACGTTTTGTATGAGTCCTGTGCCCAATCTGAAACCAACACCTAGCCCTTAACCCTACACTAAAGTTTTCCTAATTGGATCCTGTAAAATTAATGAGGGATGTCTGTATAGGGTGGACACTTGAATGCCCAGCACTGCGCGTGTCGTGACCAAAGCCCCATCTGACCCAGTGTGCCACAGTGTCGCAGAGCCCTGTGTACAGCTGCCTGGCTGACCGTTGACGAGGGGGGCTAGAGGCTGAATAGATAGATTGTTCTGTAGTGTTAAATCATCTGGATCTCTCTAGAACATGCATTCCTATGGAGGACAAACAAAGCACAGTGAAAACTGCTTGCTCAGCAGCTCGTTATTCCAACAGCATTTTCATTTGATTAGATGTGTTTTTTTGAATTCATCATGCTAGACAGCGTGACCTCACTCTGTGTGTGTCTACAGCTGCAGCTGCGCAGGCACAGGCAGAGGAGCGGCGCAGTCTAGCAGGGAACAGCCCAGGGCCACCATCCCCAGCAGCAGCTGACACACCATCCCCAGCTGCAGCAGCTAAGTCTCCCCGGCCAGGTAACAAAACAGCCCCTGCCTGCTGCATCTGCATAAACACACACTGTGTCACACACACACACACATGTATGAACACAACACACACACGTGTATATATTATGCACAGGCCTAAACGAGCATGCATACCGCCAGAATGACTCCTATGTCTCCCTAAGCCTCGGTCTTAGTTCAAGGAGGCCTAGCTAATGTTGTATGTTTCTATCATGTTCTAACCATGATCTTAACCTCACTAGTCATAAATTAGGCCTACCTGCTGTAATTCATTGGAGAGTAGCCTAATCAGTCCCTCCACGAATCTGTGATAGTTTTTTTTGCAAAATCAATAATTCCCAGAATGTTATGCAAGGGCTTGCAAATTTGACTGATCACCGCACTATTTCCGCATAAAATAATTACAGTAATATGACTCAAAGTACATTAATGTCAGGCAGGCACATGATGGACACATCTGCCTGTCAGGTGATTAACTCAGTGACACTGCAGCTCATTATAATCCACCACCGATGCTCCACCCACTGCATGTGTGTGAAGGTGAGTGTGTTCACACTTACCTGTATGTATGTGTGTGTCTGTGTGTGCATGCAGTCATTGATGGTGCTGCCCTAAGGATAGACGACCGTCTTCGAGTGGCGAAAGAGAGACGAGAGGAGGCCGATAGGCAGCAAGGTAAGAGCTCAGTCTGAATGGTGGTTCAGAATCCAACAGAACATTCTATTAGCGAAGGTCTCATGAGTCAAGCCTGTACACCATTCTCTTTAATGGGCCCAGTCTCTGACCCTGACCGTTTCAGCCCTAATCAAACCATTTGATTAGCAACATACACAAGTACATACATTGCAAGTCAGAGGCATTTCCTGTTAAGACAGGAAATGCCTACTTTAGAGTGTAGAGGGACTTTAGTGGGAGATTTAATGAGATGACCTCTGGGCTGGTCACAAAGTAAACAAACCAATGTGTTTTCCCTTTCTTTTTCTCCCACACCCTTTCACACTGACCCACACTTGCACCCTCACAACCTATCACACCCCCACCCCATCTCCAGCTACGAAGGACACTCAGATCCTGGAGCGAGAGCGTAAGGCCAAGCTGCAGGTGGAGCGGCAGATGGAGGAGCGGCAGAAGAAGCTGGACGAGCAGCGCAGGAAGGAGGAGCAGAGACGCTCTGCCGTGGAGGAGAAGAGGAAGCAGAAACAGGAGGAGGAGAAGGTACAGGCCCCTGGGGTCCTCCTCAACACCAGGGCGGTGCTACAGATACAGCTGTTATTTTTGGGATATAGCCTAGTCTACTCTTGGCGTATGCATTACATTTACATTTACGTCATTTAGCAGACGCTCTTATCCAGAGCGACTTACAAATAGGTGCATTCACCTTATAGCCAGTGGGATAACCACTTTACAATGTTTTTGTTTTTGGGGGGGGGGTAGAAGGATTACTTTATCCAATCCCAGGTATTCCTTAAAGAGGTGGGGTTTCAAATGTCTCCGGAAGGTGGTGAAGGGACTCCGCTGGCCTGGCGTCGTGAGGGAGCTTGTTCCACCATTGGGGTGCCAGAGCAGCGAACAGTTTTGACTGGGCTGAGCGGGAACTATGCTTCCGCAGAGGTAGGGGGGCCAGCAGGCCAGAGGTGGATGAACGCAGTGCCCTCGTTTGGGTGTAGGGACTGATCAGAGCCTGAAGGTACGGAGGTGCCGTTCCCCTCACAGCTCCGTAGGCAAGCACCATGGTCTTGTAGCAGATGCGAGCTTCAACTGGAAGCCAGTGGAGTGTGCGGAGGAGCGAGGTGACGTGAGAGAACTTGGGAAGGTTGAACACCAGACGGGCTGCGGCATTCTGGATGAGTTGTAGGGGTTTAATGGCACAGGCAGGGAGCCCAGCCAACAGCGAGTTGCAGTAATCCAGACGGGAGATGACAAGTGCCTGGATTAGGACCTGTGCCGCTTCCTGTGTAAGGCAGGGTCGTACTCTCCGAATGCAGTGCAGGGCATGGTACTTTTTGGTCCACCAGCTACTGTGGCAGGTAGATGAAAAAACATTTGATTTCCGCTACAATTACTGCAGCATTTATTTAGCTAAAGATGTGTTCATACTTTACTTAATTCTTATTTATTTCGCGAATGCGAGTGAAACGCTTGCACTGTGGGGCCCAGACCACCCGCCAACGTGGCTGGTCGAAATAGACATCTTACCTGCCAATGTCAAAATCAACCCGCATTTGGCGGGTGTTTAATTTTAGGCCCTGAGATGCAGTGGCTTGGGAATGATACAAATGTGTCTGAACCAGGTGACGCAGATGCACTAGTAAGCAAAAATAATGTATTTCAATTGGTACTGGTGAACTGAACTTATCATGAGGTGGCTATGTTCACTGCTCAGGTCTGGTATTTTATGATGTAGAGTTAATGCTATGTCTCGGTTAGAGCATGAGTGAAGAATTTCAGCAAAGTCTGTGTACTTTGGTACAGTGTTATGAATGAAACCATATCCTGTTTGAGCTTCTTTTCATGGGCGTCTGCTGCAGGAAGCTCATTCCCTCAGAGTTCTTATTCCAGACAGTTTGGCATTAGTGGCCTGCTGCTTTTCACCACTCCAACTCTACGGCCCCAGAACAATTTAGTGTTGGTCGTGACATCTGAAAGATTTAATAATTTAAAAGATATTATAGGGATATGCGTCTTTGTTTCGAAGCAGAGCAGACAATTTGGCTTTATCTCTCTCAAATATGACATTATCTGACATATCTTGTTTGTCTGTCTAAATGATCTCCCTCACTCACCCCCTCTCTCATCACTATGGTCTTATTGTAGTGAACTGTTATTGTCAGCTAGTTAGACAGAAAATGGCATTTCACCTTGAGTTACCGACTCAAATCATTCTGGGACATATGTTCATGTTGTCATCTTTCTCCCATTATCCATTTGACCTTGTTTATTTTGGTTTGGGAGACCTAGATTATTTCTGATATGTGAATGACTTTGCATTCTGCCACTGGCCATCTCTCTCTCTCACTTCCTCCCCCTCTCTCTCTCCATCTCAATCCATCCCCCCCTCTCCTCTCTGTATTCCCCCTCTCTCTCATCTCTCTCTCCCCCCCCCCCCCTTATCTCTCTCTACCACCCCTAACCCTCTCCCCTCTCTCATCTCTCTATCCCCATCTCGCTCTCTCATCTCTCTCAATCCCCACTCTCTCCTCTCTCTCTCGTTCTATCCCCTCTCTCTCTCTCGCTCTATCTCCCCTCTCTCTCTCTCTCCCCTCTCTCTCTCTCAATCCCCCCTCTCATCGCTCTCTATCCTCCCTCGCATCTCTCTATCCTCTCAACACTCTATCCCTCATCTCTCTATGCCCCCTCTCTCTTTTCTCCCTCTCTCTCTCCTCTCCTCAATCCCCTCTCTCCTCTTCATCTCTCTATCCCTCTCTCTCATCCTCTGTCCCTCTCTCTCTATCCTCTGTCCCCTCTTCTCTCATCTCTCTTGTCCCCTCTCTCTATCTCTCTTCCCTCTCTCTCATCTCTCTCTCCCTCTCTCTCTTCATCTCTCTTCCCCTCTCTCTCTCATCTCTCTGTCCCCTCTCTCTCTCATCTCTCTGTCCCCTCTCTCTCCATCTCTCTGTCCCCTCTCTCTCTCATCTCTCTGTCCCCTCTCTCTCTCATCTCTCTGTCCCCTCTCTCTCCATCTCTCTGTCCCCTCTCTCTCTCTCTCTCTGTCCCCTCTCTCCTCCTCATCTCTCTTCCCCTCTCTCTCTCTCTCTCTGTCACCACTCTCTCTCTCATCTCTCTGTCCCCCTCTCTCTCTCATCTCTCTGTCCCCTCTCTCTCTCATCTCTCTGTCCCCTCTCTCTCTCATCTCTCTGTCTCCCCTCTCTCTCATCTCTCTCTCCTCTCTCATCTCTCAATCCTCTCTCATCTCTCTATCCTCTCTGTCATCTCTCTATCCTCTCTCTCTCATCTCTCGCTCCCCTCTCTCTCTCATCTCTGTCCCCTGTCTCTCTATCCCCCCTCATCTCTCTAATCTCTCTTTGTCCCCCTTCATCTCTCTCTATCCTCTCGCTCATCTCTCTGTCCCCCCCTTCTCTCTCATCTCTATCCTCTCATCTCTCTCTCCCTCTCTCTCGCTCTCTCAATCCCTCCTCTCTCTGTCATCTCTCTTATCCCCCTCATCTCTCTCATCTCCTCTCTCTATCCCCCTCTCATCTGTCTAATCTCTTTGTCCCCTCTCTCTATCATCTCTCTGTCCTCTCTCTCATCTCTCTCTATCCCCTCTCTCTCTCATCTCTCTCCCCCCTCTCATCTCTCTCTATATTCTCTCTCTCATCTCTCTATCCTCTCTCCTCTCTATCCCCTCTCTCATCTCTGTATCCCCTCTCTCATCTCTCTATCCTCTCTCTCATCTCTCTATCCTCTCTCTCATCTCTCTCTATCTCATCTTTCTATCCCCTCATCTCTATCCTCCCTCATCTTGCTCTCTCATCTCTCTCTATCCCCCCTCTCATCTCTCTCTATCCCCCCCTCGCTGTCTGTCTATCCCCTCTCTGTCTCTGTATTTCCCCTCTCTCATATCTCTCTCTATCCCCTCTCTCATATCTCTCTCTCTATCCCCTCTCTCTCTCCCTCTCTCTATCCCCCCTCTCTCTCTCTCCCCTCTCTCTCTATCCCATCTCTCTCTCTATCCCCTCTCTCTCTATCCCCTCGCTCTCTCTATCCCCTCTCTCTCTATCCCCCTCTCCGCTCTCTCGCGCTCTATCCTCTCTCTCATCTCTCTATCCCCCTCGCTCTCTCTATCCCCCCCTCTCTATCTCCCCCCTCCCCCCACTCCACCTCTCTCTCTGTGTGTGTGTGTGTGCTGCAGGAGCACTATGAGGCGGTGATGCGGCGGACCCAGGAGCGCAGCCAGAGAGTGGAGCAAAGGCAGAAGAGGTGGTCCTGGGGAGGGCTCTCAGAGTCAGACAACCGACCAGGTAAGGAACCCTCCATCACACCATTCCCACTCTACTCTCTATACTATATAGATAGGACTGCTAAGTGTATAGGACTCCACGTGTGTGTAAGGAGTTTCGGTTTCCTGCTTGTGTGACAGCGGGACGCTGAATGACACAAGTCTGTAAAATTAGCTGATGCATCCTCACATTGACTGGCTCGTTATTGGTTCACTGTCAGCTGGAGTTATGTTGATAGGCTCTGTGTGTTCTATATACGACCATATCTTGTTCCTCAATGTTTTCTGTTTTTATTTGAAGTCTGAATGCCTTTAGTTAATGACGCATACTATTAGTGTGTAGTGACATAGCTGCCACACTGTATCATGAAGAACGTTTTATTTTTTTGTATCAGACAAGGCATTTATTGTACATATAGGGGGCAGTTTCCCAGACACAGATTACGCCTAGTTCTGGATTTAAAAACATGACAGAAGAGAATCTCCATTTGAATGTGCTTTTTAGTCCAGGATTGGGCTTAATCTGTGTATAAAACCAATGATCATATTATAGGGCAGAAATATGTAGGTTATCAGTATTTATTTGACATTTCTGTGGTCTGATCCCAAAGAGCCTCACCCGAGTCTTATCATGTGAGCCTGTTTCCTAGCAGCTGGGTTGTGGGCTCTGACGGTCAGAGATGGAAATCTACTGATGGTTGTCAGCCAGCCCTGTTCCTCTCTGTCCATGTGGGGGGTTGTCTGTGTCTTCTCTCCACTCCCCAGAGCCTCTCTCTCACCCACAGGAGACCCTGACGCAGGCTCCCCCTCTCCGATAGCTATAGTAATCTCCCCCGCGTCTCCAGGAAAGCCCCCCAGGACGCAAGGTGCTGGTTGATACCTGTACTGTACCTACAGCACAGCAGCACGGACTGGCACTGTTATGTTAACCACCAGCCCTTTTCTTAGTCACTCACTGCCTCACTAATATCTTCCTGGTTCTCACAGGGATGGGTTGATGTTGCTTGTATGTACAGATCTAGGATCAGCTTACCCTCCCCCAATCCTAACATTAACCGGAGGGAAAATGCAAGGCTGACCTTAGATCAGCATGTAAGGGGAACTTCCCTGTCTCTTCTGTCCCACGTGCCTTGGGCTCGCTGAATGGAAACACCGCCTGTTGACTTCCTCTCTTTCTTTCACTCTCTCACTCACTTTCATGGAGCCACTGAGCTCTCCGAGCAGCACTACTGTTGACCGTTTACACGCATGTGCCAACTAATGTCGACTTTCTCTTGACTGTTCAGCTGTGGTGTGTGTTCAGTTGATGTTTTCTGGATTTTCAACTCTTTCCACTAACTACTCTGCCTGGCTAAGAATTGGAATGGCTTTGGTCTGGCCCTTGGTGTTCATGTATAAAGAATGTAAAAAGTAAAGATGACAGTGTAATGCTATTTGAATTAAAGATGACAGTGTAATGCTATTTGCCAAGAAATGTCAGCACTAAAATATGCATCAATATTCAGAAGTGCCTTAGATTGATCAATAGTGATGGGGGGAAAAATCTATACAGTTACATCGCAATATTATTTTGGACTATATTATATCGATGCTATGACTTCTAGTATCTAATAATATTTTTTTTGCTAGGTAGCGTTAGCTAGCGCTAGTTGGCTGTACCTGCGCCAAAACTCTTTTATCCTATGACTTGTTCTCCATCTTCTTTTTAAATAATGAACTAGCATGTTTTCTGCACTTATTTCCATGACTGATCAAACTCATTTTCTCATGCTGTCTTGTCTCTCTGCAGCAGACAATTAGGCTGCATTTAAACAGGCAGCCCAATTCTGATATTTCTTCCACTAATTGGTCTTGTGACAAGATCTGATGTGATCGGTCAAATCAGATCTTTTTCAGAGCTGTTCTGATTGGTCAAAAGGCCAATTAGTGAAAAAAATATCAGAATTGGGCTGTCTGTGTAAACGCAGCCATAGTGCGCAATATGTTTGGAACATCAAATCTCAATAACATCGCAGTATCGAATCACAATACATATACAATCGTGAGAATCACAATACATATCGTATTGTGAGGTCCCTGGCTATTCCCTTCCCTATTGATCAATGTTTGGTTTAAACATTGCCCCACCAGTGCAGTATACCATATACATGTGTTGAGTATTAGCTGCAGGCAGGGCATTTGGACCCTGCAGAAGCCTGTCCTCTCCCTCCCTCTATTTCTTCTCCCCCACGCCGAGTCTCCCTGTATAACCCCCTCATCCCTCCCCGTCTGTCTCTCTCCCTGCCTCCCCTTAGCTGACAAGCGCTCCACCTCCACCTCCACCATGAACCTGAAACAGCCGGCCGATTCTAGCATCAACAAGCGCCTGTCCTCCTCCTCCGCCACCCTCATCAACTCTCCCGACAAAAGTAAGTCCCTTCCCACCCTCCACCCAGCCACTGTCTCAGCCCACTGTCACTGTTATTGTCACCGCGTTGACCCTCTCCTTCCCATGTCCAGGAGCTGAGTGACAAGCCAATCAGTGGAGCATTAAGAGACTGGTAATCCAATGCCGTGGCTCGCTGTCTCTGACCTCAACCAATAATAAACCCAGCATGAACTTGTGATTCCATTGCATCCATTTAGTGCTCACTTCCACTTTTTAGTGCGCTTTGTGACACCGAGAAGTGTCTCAGAATCATAAGGAGGGGCGCCAAAGGATCAGTAATCAGTTTATGATCTACCTACTTTCTCTTCTCTGCTCTTCAGTAGGCATTGTACTGTACCTTCCCTTCTTATCCTAATGAAGTTCATCTTGGTTTGATTCACAAGGAATTGCGCTGTTTCTGACCTCTGAGAAGAAGAATCATTCTGGGTCCAATCTAGGCTTGGGCGGTATACCGTATATACCCTATACCAGGGTATGATTTTCAATACTGGCCCTATTCTTTTTTTTCATGTGTTTTTTTTATTTTATTTATTCACAAAAAATCAATTGAGCCTGTCACATGGTATGCTTCTTTACAAAGAGGACGTGGAGCAGACTGACGTTTCCTGACGTGACATCCACTGAGCAGCACGAGAGGTGATCAAGTTACACTTGAAATTCACTACTATTGTTTTCCAGCTAAATACCATATAACTATAATTTTAACTATCTAAGTGCCAAATAATTTTTCTCCAGCTCAGGGCCCCAGTTTGCTTACTTGCTAGGTATAGGTGGCTAGCTTGCAAGGTCAAACTTCTGGGTTACAGCAGAGACAATCAATCCCCTCGTGGATCAAGTGTGAGTAGCCTTTTGACATAGTTCTATAACTTGCGCTGGGTTGTCTGTCCTTGCATTTAGTTTATGTTCTCTTGCGCTTGTTAGCATTTATTTAGCATCCGCTATGGAAATTCGTTAGTACTTTTGTTAGAAATGTATACAGTGCATTCGGAAAGTATTCAGACCCCTTCACTTTTTCCACATTTTGTTACATTACAGCCTTATTCTAAAATTGATTAAATAGTTTCCCCTCAGCAATCTAAACACAATACCCCATAATGACAAAGCGAGAACAGGTTTTTAGGAACTTTTGCAAATTTAAAAGTATTCAGACCCTTTGCTATGGAACTCTAAATTGAGCTCTGCTGCATCCTGTTTCCATTGATCATCCTTTTATGTTTCTACAACTTGATTCGAGTCCACCTGTGGTAAATTCAATTGATTGGACATGATTTGGATGCCAAGTGTCACGTCTGGGGGAAACCTGGCACCGCTCATCACCTGGCCAATACCATCCCTACGGTGAAGCATGGTGGAGAGGCAGCATTATGCTGTGTGGCAGGGACTGGGAGACTAGTCAGGATCGAGGGAAAGATGAACGGAGCAAAGTACAGAGAGATCCTTGATGAAAACCTGCTCAGGACCTCAGACTGAGGCGAAGGTTCACCTTCCAACAGGACAATGGCCCTAAGCACACAGTCAAGACAACGCAGGAGTGGCTTCGGGACAAGTCTCTGAATGTCCTTGAGTGTCCCAGCCAGAGCCCAGACTTGAACCCGATCGAACATCTCTGGAGAGACCTGAAAATAGCTGTGCAGCGACGCTCCCCATATAACCTGACAGAGCTTGAGAGGATCTGCGGAGAAGAATGGGAGAAACTCCCCAAATACAGGTGTGCCAAGCTTGTATCGTCATACCCAAAGGTGCTTCAACAAAGTACTGAGTAAAAGGTCTGAATACTTATGTAAATGTGATATTTCCAGGGATTTTTAAATATATAAATTTACTAAAATTGCTAAAGACCTGTTTTTGCTTTGTCATTATGGGGTATTGTGTGTAGATTGATGATGGGGGAAAAAACAATGTAATCCATTTTAGAATAAGACTGTAACGTAACAAAGTGGAGAAAGTCGAGGGGTCTGAATACTTTCCGTATGCACTGTATATACAGTACCAATCAAAAGTTTGGACATACCTACTCATTCAAGGGTTTTTCTTTATTTTTAAAGCTATTTTCTACATTGTAGAATAATAGTGAAGACATCAAAACTATGAAATAACACATATGGAATCATGTAGTAACCAAAAAAGTGTTAAACAAATCAAAATATATTTATATTTTAGATTCTTCAAAGTAGCCACCCTTTGCTTGATGACAGCTTTGCACACTCTTGGCATTCTCTCAACCAGCTTCATGAGGTAGTCACCTGGAATGCATTTCAATTAACAGGTGTGCCTTGTTAATTTGTGGAATTTATTTTCTTCTTAAAGCGTTTGAGCCAATTAGTTGTGTTGTGACAAGTTAGGGATGGTATACAGAAGATAGCCCTATTTGGTAAAAGACCCAAGTCCATATTATGGCAAGAACAGCTCAAAGCAAAGAGAAACGACAGTCCATCATTACTTTATGTGACATGGTCAGTCAATACGGAAAATTTCAAGAACTTTTAAAGTTTCTTCAAGTGCAGTCACAAAAACCATCAAGCGCTATGATGGAACTGGCTCTCATGAGAACCGCCACAGGAAAGGAAGACCCAGAGTTACCTCTGCTGCAGAGAATGTTCATTAGTTACCAGCCTTAGAAATTGCAGCCCAAATAAGTTCAAGTAACAGACACATCTCAACATTAACTGTTCAGAGGAGGCTGTGTGAATCAGGCCTTCATGGTCGAATTGCTGCAAAGAAACCACTACTTAAAGGACACCAATAAGAAGAGACCTGCTTGGGCCAAGAAACACGAGCAATGGACATTAGACCGGTGGAAATATGTCCTTTGGTCTGATGAGTCCAAATTTGATAATTTTGGTTCCAACCACTGTGTCTTTGTGAGACGCAGAGTAGGTGAACGGATGATCTCCTCGTGGAGCATGGAGGAGGAGGTGTGATGGTATGGGGGTGCTTTGCTGGTAAAACTGTCAAGGATTTATTTAGAATTCAAGGCACACTTAACCAGCATGGCTACCACAGCATTCTGCAGCGATACGCCATCCCATCTGGTTTGAGCTTAGTGGGACTATCATTTAGTTTTTCAACAGGACAATGACCCAACACACCTCCAGGCTGTGTAAGGGCTATTTGACCAAGAAGGAGAGTGATGGAGTGCTGCTTCAGATGACCTGGCCTCCACAATCACCCAACCTCAACCCAATTGAGATTGTTTGGGATGAGTTGGACCGCAGAGTGAAGGAAAAGCAGCCAACAAGTGCTCAGCATATGTGGGAACTCCTTAATGACTGTTGGAAAAGCATTCCAGGTGAAGCTGGTTGAGAGAATGCCTAGAGTGTGCAACGCAAAGGGTGGCTACTTTGAAGAATCTCAAACATAAAATATATTTTGATTTGTTTAACACTTTTTTTTTGGTTACTACATGATTCCATATGTGTTATTTCATAGTTTTGATGTCTTCACTATTATTCTACAATGTAGAAAATAGTAAAAATAAAGAAAAACCCTTGAATTAGGTGTGTCCAAACTTTTGACTGGTGCTGTATATACAATTATTTATTTACATTTGGATAGAAATGGCGGCCCTTGTGTGCACTGCTGGTGATACCGTATACCCCGGTATGGAACAGGAACGGTATGAAGGTATGGAAATCTGGCTACCACCTAACCCTAATCCAATCCTTATCTCTCCACAGCTTCCTTTTCCTCCACCATTGTCAAGAGCCCTTACACACAATGTTGTTTGTTCTCTGTCTCTCTCTCTCACTCACCCCCCTTTGGGCCTTCCTATGGTCCTATGGTCAGTTGATGGGAATTGTAAGACCAACAGCAGCAATATTTCAGTGTGTGTTATTTAGAATCTCTAAGACCAACTACAGGAGAATGTAAAGAGAAATGGCTGTGTCACAGCTTCACCGTGGCTGTCTCCTCGTTGTCTCTCAGGTGCTCGTGTGAGGAGTTCGTCACTGAACCGGTTGCCTAGAAACAAGACAGTCGACCTAGACACTCAGCCCTCTAAGGAAGGCAGAAAAAAGCTTCAGGTGGAACAGACAGGTGCATATTAAGGCCCCCATCTCTATACACCCCCATCAACGCCCAACACAACCATCCTCTTCATGCTCCACACTCCCTCTGATAGGTCTGAGCAACCATTGCCTGGTGTTGCTCTGAAGCTTTAGACAAGGCCATCTTTCCGCACAGTAAACGCGTGCCTATATAGATTAACATAATTCATCTAAAGAGTATTAAGTGGCAAGAAATGTTTTGCATGTTAGAGAGAAAGGGTTTTCTTAAGACTGATTAGTTGACAGATCCAGGCTAACACGATACACTACCGTGGTGCTAGACATCATGTAGCCCTCTATCGAGATAGAGAGCAAGTAATCAGATTATGATCATAGTGTCGTTTAGCCACACAGTCCACGAACATGGACTTCAAGGCCTATTGATTTGTACTGTAATGATATAACAATAACTCTTTATTGAAATCCATGTGATTCTTGAGGGCCTTTCGGGGAACATGCCCCCGCCCCCTCTGTCACTGATAGGCTGTAACCCCACTCTCCTGTCTGTAGGCCCCTCCCTGAAGAAGAGAAGCTCCTCCCTGACACGAGCTGGGGGGGGCAGAACGCCGACCCCCTCCAAGCTCGATAAGGGGACGTCAGACGACCAAGGTGGCTAGCATGAACCAAGTTTATATTTTATATTCTTGTCCTTGTCTCCTCCTTTTGTAATAACAAGCACGCATCTCCTCCTCTCCGACATTTGTCTGCTCACTCACTTCACTCATTCAGCTCCTAGTGCTGATTTTGTATGCGCAAGCTGGGGAGGGTTAGGCAGTTCAGGCATACTGTTGGTGCAGTGATTGTAAAGTGCAACAAGGTAGTGATTTGTAACTTCCAAACCGGCCTTCATCCCTTTCCTCCACTCTTTCCCTCTCTCTCTCCAGGTGTGCTCTTCTCTAGCCAACACTGTACACCCTCGACTGCCCCGAACTCCTGTCCCTCTGTCTGTCCCTGGTCTCTACCAGGGGCTTTCTCTGGTGCCTCGTGTCACTAATTCACCCCACTCTACCAGGGGCTCTCTGGTGGCTCGTGTCACTAACTCACCCCACTCTACCAGGGGCTCTCTCTGGTGCCTCGTCACTAAATCACCCCACTCTACCAGGGGCTCTCTCTGGTGCCTCGTCACGAAATCACCCCACTCTACCAGGGGCTCTCTCTGGTGCCTCGTGTCACAAACTCACCACACTCTTTCTCTAACAGATCTCTCCTCTATTGTTGCTTGCCTGCTGTGTTTAACTCTCAGCTAATCTTGTCTTAACCCCCCCCCTCTCTCCCCTCTCTCTCGTTCCTTTGAGCTGCTAAGCAGCAGGAATGGCTCCTAACTAACACAATGTTTTGTTTGTTGGTCACAATGTGTTTGTTGTTTTGCCTGCAGATGACGTTTGTAAGCAGTGGATTTGACACATGGGGTCTCGTGCCCCACGGTGTGTGTCAGTGCCATCCCACTGTAGCTCCTAGGGTCTAGAAAGCACTGTGTTAACCATATCCCACTGCATCCAACATACTGTATGTCTGTTAACCATATCCCACTGCATCCAACATACTGTATGTCTGTTAACCATATCCCACTGCATCCAACATACTGTATGTCTGTTAACCATATCCCACTGCATCTAACATACTGTATGTCTGTTAACCATATCCCACTGCATCCAACATACTGTATGTCTGTTAACCATATCCCACTGCATCTAACATACTGTATGTCTTGTAGTAGTTGTTCTCATTTACAGGGCAAATAGTTTCTCAGTGATGTGAGATGCCATGAACTGTTTAAATATCATTTTAGTTTGAGTTGATAACAATCTTTGAATCTCCCATACTGTGTTAGAGGAATCCCACAACGAGCCATCCATGTCTGTTCTTAAAACCTGGATCCCTTCACTAACCAGACAGGGAAAAGTCTCCCATCCCCAACCGTTCCTAACCACGTTTCCTAGCCGACCCTGACCTCCAATCAGTCTGGAGCTTCACAACTGGATCTGAAGCAGTTTAGGGGTCTGGCTCCATGCTTTAAGAGGCTGGCCCACTCTACATCTAACAAATTAGTGTCTGCAACAGATGTCCCCTCTCTGTCAGGGAGCCTGAAGGAGGCCTCGATGCAAATCCCTTCATCCAAAGTGCCAAACAGGAATATAGAGCAACGGACAATTTTATTTTAACATTTCTGTTTATCAACCTTTGCTACTGGGATACTGTGCTTCCATAGGAACCAAGGGGGAACTGTATTCCTTCATTTCGTGAGATCAAGAGCTCTTGGTTTCTACTGTCAGACTCCAGGTCTCCTGCTAATATGTACAAGTGATCGGTACTCCACTGTCTATTCACATATAGTGGGCAGGGCCTAGAATTACCGTCTTGGTTGGGCTATTTAAATTTAAGACTAAATTCTTGTTCTTTCCAATACAAAGCACTGCTATAGTCTGAACAGTAGAAACCAGAGAGTACTTGCGCACTCTTACTTTGAGCCCTTACCTCCATGTTCCATGTCCTCCCTATCCACCCCATAGCACGCCCCCTCTCCTGTCTGGGGACTGAGCTCACTAACACCCTTTTTACCCCCCAGCATCCCCTCTGCACCAGGGACACCTTGATTAGACCTCACTTGTAGTCCTCTTAAGTTGCTCGACAATCACTCTGGGTCTGTGTCCCAATACTCTTTCCTGGTCTCCTTGTCTTCATTCCCACTGGGTGGAATGGGTGAAAGGACTAGGTTTCCACAAGGACTCCCTTTAAGACTATTGAGACACAGCCTTGGTTTCTTATGTGGATTCTCTCCTGTTACTGGTTGAAATCACATGGTGACCCCCCCCCAAATCCCACCCCTTTCTTTGTGTTGACCCTCATCCCCCACCCCTCGCCTCCTTCTTTTTCTTCTTGTTTTGGCTTCTCCATTTTTTGGGGGGTTCGGCTTGTTCCGGACGTGTAGCTCGCAAGCCCCTGGCGAGCCCAGTGGACGGAGGGTTCCTCAGTCGCCTGCTCACCCCCACCCAGGCCTCACTAGCTAGGAGCAAGAGCGCTGCAGCCCTGTCGGCCGAAGGAGGCAACGCCCCAGGTAACCCCCACAGAAGAGACCCCCTGTAGAGAGTGAGGACCCAACAACGCACAGGGACCCCCCCACCCCGCTGCTGTCCTCCATTATATCACTAGCTACAGTATAAGATAATACCACCTCAAGCCACACCCCTGTCCTCCATTATATCACTAGCTACAGTATAAGATAATACCACCTCAAGCCACACCCCTGTCCTCCATTATATCACTAGCTACAGTATAAGATAATACCACCTCAAGCCACACCCCGGTCCTCCATTATATCACTAGCTACAGTATAAGATAATACCACCTCAAGCCACACCCCTGTCCTCCATTATATCACCAGTTAGTAGCTATAAAACACCCACCCCAGGTCCCTATTATGTCACTGGATGTATAGACATATATCTCTAGCCCAGACTCCTGCTGCTGGCTAGGCAAATCCTTTGACGCAAACTGGCCTGTGTTATGGTTATGTTGTCCAGTGGCTATAGGCTGGAGTCCAGGGGTGGCTATAGGCTGGAGTCCAGGGGTGGCTATAGGCTGGAGTCCAGGGGTGGCTATAGGCTGGAGTCCAGGGGTGGCTATAGGCTGGAGTCCAGGGGTGGCTATAGGCTGGAGTCCAGGGGTGGCTATAGGCTGGAGTCCAGGGGTGGCTATAGGCTGGAGTCCAGGGGTGGCTATAGGCTGGAGTCCAGGGGTGGCTAAAGGCTGGAGTCCAGGGGTGGCTAAAGGCTGGAGTCCAGGGGTGGCTAAAGGCTGGAGTCCAGGGGTGGCTAAAGGCTGGAGTCCAGGGGTGGCTAAAGGCTGGAGTCCAGGGGTGGCTAAAGGCTGGAGTCCAGGGGTGGCTAAAGGCTGGAGTCCAGGGGTGGCTATAGGCTGGAGTCCAGGGGTGGCTATAGGCTGGAGTCCAGGGGTGGCTATAGGCTGGAGTCCAGGGGTGGCTATAGTCTCGAGTACAGGGGTGGCTTAAGGCTATATTACTGTTGACAGGCCCTGCTTGGTCAGTGGTACATGTCTTGAACATAATGTATTTTCCAGTAAAAGTACTCTCGTGATCACAAGGTTGTGCATACATATGTAGATGTACGCCACACACATACACGTGCAGGACCTGCTCACATGCACTCAGAGCTCAGACACAATTGGCTGGGGTGTGTGTAGAGTCTTAATAATTATAATAATAATAATTAGTCATTTAGCAGACGCTCTTATCCAGAGCGACTTACAGGAGCAATTAGGGTTAAGTGCCTTGCTCAAGGGCACATCGACAGATTTTTCACCTAGTCGGCTCGGGGATTAGAACCAGCGACCTTTCGGTTACTGGCACAACGCTCTTAACCACTAAGCTACCTGCCGCCCTCCTTGGCTGGGAGCTGGTTTGGTGTGCCTGAGGAGCCTTGGGAATCAGAGTTCACGCTGGGTGGCTTTGCACTAAGCTGCTTTCCTGTGGGCCCAGTGCAGCCCGCGGCTGGTTGCCTGAGAGAGAATGAGTGTTGTTGTTTGTGCTGGTAATGAACCCAGAGAGCTGGAGACTTGCTAGACAGTAGTAAGAACCTGAGTCTCAAACCACAGACCAGCAGCTTACACTGGCTTGCTATATGAAAGACTTACTCCTTTAGCACCCTTATAGAGGGGCTAGCTACTCATTGTGGGTTACAAATTGACTAGGCAAGTAAGGGTTGTGAGCATGATGTAGCCAAATATACTGGAATACGCAGTGGTGTAGCTGACGTGAAGAATTTGTCCTATTCAACTTTGGGGTTTTTGATTTGGATTGGATTCAAGCTGGAAATAATATTGTGTGGCATTGGCATACTAGGCTAAGCCCCCAAAGCACTGTCTTTAAAACAAAGGAAATGCTGGAAATCCTGACCAGGGACCTCACGATACCATATTATCACAATACTTTTACATTTACGTCATTTAGCAGACGCTCTTATCCAGAGCGACTTACAAATTGGACTTAGGAGCCGATACGATATACAGTATATTGTGATTCTCACGATTTATATATGTGTAAAAGTGCTGAAAACAAATTGGCTCCCGATTTAAATAGAAGACTGAGAACAAGATATGAAGGAAAAATACTGGTGTTTTGGTACAGCCGACTAGAGCAAAAATAATGTTGTGATATTGTCAAAAAGAATATTGCAATATATATCGTAAAAGATTATATCCCAACATTCCCCCCCATCACTATGAATGAGTACTAGCAATTAAGCCCTCCTCCAGCATGCTTGAGTGTTGCTATTGGATTGTGATGGTTTGTGGTGTTTCTAGACTAATGTGTGTATGTGAGCGCTGCCAGCAATATGCTGCATTGGTGTGATGATTTTGTGACGGTGGTGGGTTGTGTGTGACCTGTGTTCAGTGTCTGATGTGGGGGTGTGCTCATTGCTGTGGTGTGTCAATGTGTTTTGCTATGTGCAGCACCGGAGCTTTGGCACCAATCAGGGGATGCCAGTCCATCAGTCTGTCCCTGCCTCTCTCTGGCTCCACCCTCCAGCCCTGCCATGCTTCAACAACCAACCGTGTGTTACCATAATCTAACACTAGGTTGTGTTTTGTGCTCTTATCCCCCGAACCATCATCTTCCTCTCTTTCTACTCTCTCTCTTTTTCTCTCCATCTCTCTCTTTTTCCCCATGCCTCTGCTTTGCTCACCCAACTCGGCTGCTTCTACCCTCGCTCCCATTGGCTGGTTTCCCTGCGCTGCGATGACTGTGTCCTTTACCAGAGTGTCACCTGTGTCCTCGCTCAGCCTCGGCCAGCCCCCTGAACCCAATGCAGCGAGGACCCCTGCGCAGCCGCAGCATCGACCGGCAGAAGAGCGCCACCCTGCCCACCTCCGCCTCGGCAGACCAACTGAACCCCTCACTGGTGAGACGTCATGAATTTGGAAGACATATGAAGACATATAATTATCATTAATAGAATGGACATATGAAGACATAGAATTAGCATTAATAGAATGGACCTATGAAGACATTGAATTAGCATTAATAGAATGGACATTTGGTAGACATAGAATTAGCATTAATAGAATGGACATTTGGTAGACATAGAATTAGCATTAATAGAATGGACATGGAAGACATAGAATTAGCATTAGCAGAATGGACATATGGTCTGGGGCATGCATAGAGCACTTAGGACTAATGTGTTCATGTGCATGATGGCAAACTGTTAATGGGGGTGTGATTAGGTCTTGTCTCGACTGTTTAAATTTAGCGACTTAGTAGTCAGCTATGCATGCATAGTTTCTGCATTCTTAGCAGGGACAGTCCCCTCCCAGATCATCAAAATGAATGAAGGAGCAGGTGAAGGAGACAGTGGAAATGTAGGCCATGTAAAGGTGTGTGGGTTGTCTTTCCCAGAAGCCCTTTGGACACCAGGATAAAGTTACAGGAACAAGGTGCTTAAAGCCATGATAACACTATCTCGCCAAACCTGCAATGATACGGTGTTAGACAAAATAAACCCAGTATACAAATGTCACTCATTTATATGCATGCATCCTGTATAATTTGCCAGTCAAAGCAGCCCTGTGGGTTATCCATCCATGATACAGATCTGAGAGCTGTGTTCTCTCAGAATCACACTGCTCTCCCACGACATTGTTCACTAGAGAAAAGCTTTGTTCACTCTTGGTGCATTAAAGATGTTTACCAAACAATTCAATAAGACCAGGATGCCACTACTGCGTTCAAGTGTTTTAGCCCCCAAGTAGATTCATTGGGCATTAACAGAGTCATGTTAGCCTCGAGACATGTTCCATGCAGCCTGAGGCAAGCTCTTTGATTCGTTCAGTGTCCTCCACTGCCTGGCTCTCTCTCCCTCCCTGTCCTTTCTCCATGGTACTCCATGGATATGAAGGAGCACTATTGTCACAGACAGATGGACAAAGGAGCCCACAACAGGCTGAGTACAGTAGGAGTGGCTGGCTGTGGCTGGGTCAGGCCATGCAGAGCAGGACAGGCAGAAGAGCAGGCCACACCCTGGGTCTTGGGCTGCCTTTCAATAGCCTAAGGTGGCTTCTTCCCCTTGTCTCTTTTCCTCCACTGACTGGACAGGTGAAAGCAAATTCCTGGTAGGTAGCCTCCATCTTGTTTTGACCTAGTCTGGTAGGTAGCCTCCATCTTGTTTTGACCTTGTCTGGTAGGTAGCCTCCATCTTGTTTTGACCTTGTCTGGTAGGTAGCCTCCATCTTGTTTTGACCTAGTCTGGTAGGTAGCCTCCATCTTGTTTTGACCTTGTCTGGTAGGTAGCCTCCATCTTGTTTTGACCTTGTCTGGTAGGTAGCCTCCATCTTGTTTTGACCTAGTCTGGTAGGTAGCCTCCATCTTGTTTTGACCTAGTCTGTGTTTCCAGATCAGCAAGGATGAATGAGATAAGGAGATGAAGCCCCTTTAGACTATTGAGATGTGTCCTCGAGTGTCCTATTCAAGGAGACAGTCAAGTACAGCCTAGGGAGAGATTGCAGAGACCGAGAGACTCATGGGTAGGTATCTCCCCAATGCTTTAGAGGACACATCTATGCGCTATCCAGAGTGCACATTTAAAGGGAGACATGCTGCTCCTATGATGCGGGCAGACATGCCAGTGTGTTTGTGTGTGTGCTTGTCCATGCACTTTTCCTCTCAGTGATTAGCTGGTGTAAATCTCCAGTGAGAATGGAAGGTACTCTGTGTGGTGACGAATAGGAGGGGACGGCGCTCCTCGTATAAAACCATCCCTCTCTTCCAGTCTCCTCTCCTCACAGTAGAATGATCATACATCGCATGCGCTTTGTCTTGTCTGCTTTGTGAAAGCTTTGAAAGCTATTTCTACCCCACATGAAGCAAATAGTTTACCACTAAATGCACACTGCTCTTTTACTAAGCAGTGTTCAGATAAACCCTGACTAAATAGTTATACAGCCGTACACACACAAACCTCTCCTGAGTTTGGCATGCGTGTCAGTTTACGTGTGTGTCCGTCTGTTGTTTTGCCAGGTGAGGGTGACCTTGCTGTGCCCGTCAGCATGTTTTCAGACCCCCCTCGTGGCATGTCGGCTTTAAAAAAATAGATTTATTTGAATCAGACATGCCCACATGGTAACCTTCACGGTGACGGTCAGTGCTGTGACGTTATTTAAAGCCTGCTGTGACAACATGGGAGACTGTGTCTGTCTGTGTCATGGATCAGGTGCTATCTGGTCACTCCATGTTATTGATGCACTTCTACTGGTTCACTGTATTCTCATGAAGGGTTGCATTTCTAGTGTTAATCCTACATGTGTTATTTTAAGGATACCCTAGCCGGATGACTCGCTCCAGTTTGGATGCTAAGACGTAATGGACTGAATTGTCCCTCTCTCTCTCTTTGTGGAACGACAGAAGGAGAAACGGTTCTCGTCGCCCGGAGGGAAACGCCCCGCCTCGCCCTCCAACATAGCGGGACGCCACCGCTCGCCCTCCCCCGCCCCTCTCCCCGCCAGCAAGAGAACCCCCTCCCCCAGTGCAGCAAAGTAAGACATCACATCTCTCCCTAGAAAATGTGTTAACAATATTCCATATAAAACAATATTCAATATTTCTTGTTTAATTGTGTACTATTGAAATTGTTTAGATTTGTTGGATAATTGATAACTGCCAAATCTTGTCTCCCCTCTACAGGCAAAGCCCCCGTAACCGTCCCCCGTCACCCGGAGGTATCAAACATCGCCCCCCTTCCCCCCAGCTCAGCTCGGCCAAGCCCCCATCCCCCCAGCCCACCTCTGCCAAGCCACCACCCATCCAGAGACCGGCCCTCACCCCAACCGGCCCACCCCACCCTGCGGAAGAAAGACTCCAAGCCAAAGGACCTGTGTCCCATCCAGGCTGTGGCCCCCCAGTCCCCAGAACCCCCCCAGACCAGCACAACACCGACCCCTACAACTACCACCTCCAGTAAGACCAAAGACAAGGACGGTGAGTAAAGAGGACCTCCAACCTTACATACGTCAACCTCACTAAGATCACCTTTCTCTCTGGGCTGAGTTAGCTATTTACCTCTGGTAGTACCACAGTCATGACATAGGGCTAAAATCTCACTTGAGTAAGGACTTTGCCGAGCTCAGATTAAGCAAGAATAAACGCCAACAATCTCAGTCTTATGAGACTCACTTTCTTCTAATAATGAGACTGTAAGCCCCTGAGGCAGTGGTTTGGAAACCCTGTATTGTATTACTCAGTTCCCATAAAGGGCATCAGCCTCTGCTCTGTCCTCTATCCGGATGTATCTAAATTATCTATGGCAGTGATCATCAACTAGATTCAGCCGCGGGCCAATTTTTTTTCTTGAGTGGATGGTCGGGGGCCAGAACATAATTATAAATAATTTGTAGACTGCAAATTGACTGCAAGAAGCCCAAACAGATATAATATTTGATTAAAATGTCATTTCAAACCTTGTTTACATTTGTATATGATCTCTCTATTATGTGTGGAAGTACTAGGGAACAGATTTCCCAAATTAAAATCACTTGTAGCTGATTTCCTGGTGTTAAAAAAATAAATATATATATATATATATAAATAATAATAATATGCCATTTAGCAGACGCTTTTATCCAAAGCGACTTACAGTCATGCGTGCATAATTTTTTTTTTTTTGTGTATGGGTGGTCCCGGGATCGAACCCACTACCTTAGCGTTACAAGCGCCGTGCTCTACCAGCTGAGCTACAGAGGACCACATATATATTATATGTATGTGTGTATGTCCAACAATGAAAATTCACATGGCTTAATACCTCCGTTTCACCACAGTGGGTTCCTCTCCTGTGCGGTTCATTAGCAAGGGAAAGTGACATGCCAGCCCCAGCAGCAGCTTAGTGTGTAGCTGTAAATTCTCTGTGGACCAGCACAACCAGCTGTAGTTACATCCCGTTAGCCCTAGAGAGGTCTAGTACCCCCTTCTGGTCAGAGTCCTGTACTACTACTGTAGAACTCATTAGGAGATGGTTAAGGCCAGGGTTAATGGATGGTGTGTGTGTGCTGCAGCCCCTCACTGCTCCCAATAGGACTTATTCTGCAGTAGGAGACAGAGATCTCATTATGACCAGCAGCCACAGAGATGGTCGTGTGAAATCGGTTTCCACACTTTGTTTTACCCTCTTGCTCTCTCTGTCTTCTTCCTTTCTCTTACTGTCTTTTTCCTTTCTCTTTCTCTCTCACTTTCTGTGTGTGTCTCTCTCTCTCTGTACTCCCTAGTAGTTTAGGTATGCATCTGTAGTGTTTGGTGCTATGACTGCTGTGTGGTTATTATGTTGTGTCTTGGTTATGTCATTTAAAGGAAAGGTTCACCCATTTTGAATGTTTTATGGTTTTAGTGCATCTGAGTGATGTTCTATCGATTCCCAGGGTCATTTCATGTGTATCTGAGTAATTGGCGTTCGAGCAGGCAGAAATCCGTCTGTTATGACGTAGCATTGTGAAAAAGTTGCTCTCACTACACTGGAGTAATAGGAATAAGTCTGTCATACACGTCAGATTTCAATTCTGGCCGATGTCATAACTCGGGAGGATGTCATCTCTCGAATGAACCGTTAATCATATTTTTGCGATATTCCTACCATCTATCAATGTGTTATTTAACGGAGGGTCTAACACATTTTACCTGTTTGTCTTCCTCTTTAGTCCAGGGTGCATTGCATGGTGTTGTTGCCAGATATATTATAGAAAGGAGATAGGAATCCAATGAATGAAGGAACGTATAACGCCCCACCAAGCAGACTGTCAACCAATCGCGTTCACGTTAGGTGCCAGTATGAAAATGTATGCACTCACTAACTGTAAGTCGCTCTGGATAAGAGCGTCTGCTAAATGACTAAAATGTAAATGTAACGTTGTCATGCTGTGTCAAGCGGTTGCTAAGGTAATCGTCGCGCAATCCCTTCTCAAAGTCAGTGTATATGTCAAGAAACGTGCCTATTTTCCTCGAAAGTACGTAATGTCACGATTCTAAAGCTATACGATACTATAGATGGCAAGTTAATTATCTCACATCTCGGAAAAGATTTGTAATGTTGTACTTCTTGTTGACGAAATTCGTGCTAATGTTGGGTTTTTGAGCTAGCGCCCAATAGACTCCCATTCACTCCTTGAAGGAGAGTGCTCCTTCTCCCAGAATCGCCCAGAATGCACCGCGTGGCCCATTTGACATTTCCTATCACCTCAAAAGTGTATCTGCCGTTACGAATGTCAGACTACTCTGTGAGGCACATCGATCTGCAGGTTGAACATGGTGAGATTGTAGACTCCTAAATTGATAGTGCAGTTTGTTTAGGTGATTTTACAGTTAACTAGCTACTTCACATGCTGATATTGTTGTTGGCATTATTGTGTGTAGCCCATAGAGAGAGCATTGCATTGTGGATTTTGCAGGCGACTTCAGCCGCAACAGATTTCCACAACGATTTTCCATGTTGCTACCAACCTTATAATAACACCAAAATGAAACATTTGTTCACAAAAATAATGTTCTCACATATTAGTGTTATTTAACACTGTAAATTAAAGCAATGAGTGGTTTTGGGTGGATTTTTCCTTTAATGAGAAGATATATTAACTAACCTCCTGGTTGGCTCCTATCTGTCTCTCAGACAAGTCCATGGCGGGCACCAACTCGGCTGCCGAAGCCGCCATGATCCTTGCAGAGAACCGCCGTCTGGCGCGGGAGAAGAAGGAGAGAGAGGAGGCACTCCGAGTACTGAGAGAGGAGGAGGAGAAGTAAGGAAACGGCTGATGCTACTAGAACCCGTTCAGGTCGTCTCACCATCTCTCTGTGGGGGGACATTGACCTCTCCTATCTTATCTACAGGCTGAGGAAGGAGGAAGAGAAACGCTTGGCCGAGGAGGCACGGTTGAAATGCCTGGAGGAGGAGAGGAGGCTGGCGGAGGAGAGGAAGAAAAAGGAGGAGGAGGACGCTCTTATGGCAGAGGCAGACAGAGAGAGACTGGAGGCAGAGGAGGCCGAGAGACAGGCTGAGCTACAGAAAGAGGTAGGGACACGCAGACACATTGACAGTGTTGTTGGTGTAATTTATTGTTTGATTGGTTGCTTGTGTGATTGACAACCTGTTTGTCCAATCGCAGCGTGAAGAGGCGGAGGCACAGGCTGCAATTGATGCAGAGAAGGTCCGCATTGAGAGGGAGAGGGTAATGGCCCAGAACCAACAGGAACGCATGGAGAGGAAGAAGGTGGGTGGAGAATCACCATTTCATCATACATGCTTTATCATACACACTGCACACATTGACTGTATGTTCTGAGTAACATGTTCATCATACACATTCAGTATGCACACTCAGTGAAAATAGCCCCTACATCCACTCCCTGTATACGAACACTTTAACGTAAAAGCAGTCCAACCATTTTATAACTTGTATTACATTGAGCATGTCTGCACGGTGTAATTTGCCAGAAATTGTTGACATGAATCTCCCTGTTGCTCTTCGACTTGCAGAGAATTGAGGAGATCATGAAGAGAACCAGAAAAGGGGAGCAAGAAAAGGTGAGTTCAAATTTCTCAAGCTATGATATCTCCATGGAAACTGTGCTTTCTACAATAGCCAAGTCTGCTTGGATAAGCACACCTAGTAATCCTTGCACATACTTGATACATATTTTAACTTGTACGCATTTTGACCGGCACTCTGTCCCTGTGTCCTGTGTAGAGAGATGAAGATGATGATGATGATGATGATGATGACATACAGGATGAAGAGGGAGGAGGAGGGGGGCGAAGAAGAAACCAACTGTGACGACACCAAGGGTAACTGTCCACCGTCAATTAACCATCCCTTGGAGCTGGGTGATATGAACAAAAACCCATATCATAAATTGACTGAATTATAGCGATTTTTAAATAGAACGATTAACATGATAACATTAATGTGTACTGCAACTACTACTTTAGATGTTGTAGCTACAGTGCATTCGGAGAGTGTTCAGACCCCTTGACCTTTTCCACATTTTGTTACATTTCAGTCTTATTCTAAAATTGATTAAATTGATTTTTTTCCTCATCAATCTACACACAATACCCCATAATGACAAAGCAAAAACAGGTTTTTAATTTATACAAAATTAAAAACGGAACTATAACATTTACGTAAGTATTCAGCCCCTTTACTCAGTACTTTGTTGAAGCACCTTTGGCAGCGATTACAGCCTAGAGTCTTCTAGGGTATGATACTATAAGCTTGGCACACCTGTATTTGGGGAGTTTCTCTCATTCTCTCTGCAGATCCTCTCAAGCTCTGTCAGGTTGGATGGGGAGCGTCTTTGCACAGCTATTTTCAGGTCTCTCCAGAGATGTTAAATCAGGTTCAAGTCTGAGTTCTGGCTGGGCCACTCAAGGACATTCAGAGACTTGTCCCGAAGCCACTCCTGAGTTGTCTTGGCTGTGTGCTTAGGGTCGTTGTCCTGTTGGAAGGTGAACCTTCAACCCAGTCTGAGGTCCTGAGAGCTTTGGAGCAGGTTTTCATCAAGGCTCGCTCTGTACTTTGCTCCGTTCATGTTTTCCTCGATCCTGACTAGTCTCCCAGTCCCTGCCACTTCACCGTAGGGATGGTACCAGGGTTCCTCCAGACGTGACGCTTGGCATTCAGGCCAAAGAGTTCAATCTTGGTTTCATCAGACCAGAGAATCTTGTTTCTCATGGTCTGAGATTCTTTAGGTGCCTTTTAGCAAACTCCAAGGGGGCTGTCATGTGCCTTTTACTGAGGAGTGGCTTCCGTCTTGCCACTCTACCATAAAGGCCTGATTGGTAGAGTGGCCAGATTGCTCAGTTTGGCCGCGTGGCCTTCTCTAGGAAGAGTCTTGGTGGTTCCAAACTTCTTCCATTTAAGAATGATGAAGGCCACTGTGTTCTTGGGGAGCTTCAATGCTGCAGAAATGTTTTGGTTACCCTTCCCCAGAACTGTGCCTCAACACAATCCTGTCTCGGAGCTCTACGGACAATTCCTTCGACCTCATGGCTTGGTTTTTGCTCTGACATGCACTGTCAATTGTGGGACCTTGTATAGACAGGTGTGTGCCTGTCCAAATCATGTCCAATCAATTGAATTTACCACAGGTGGACTCCAATCAAGTTGTAGAAACATCAAGGCTGATCAATGGAAACAGGATGCACCTGAGCTCAATTTTGAGTCTCATAGCAAAGGGTCTGAATACTTTTGTAAATAAGGTCTTTCTGTTTTTTATTTTTAATAAATATACAAACATTTCTAAACCTGTTTTCACTTTGTCATTATGGAGGATTGTGTAGATTGATTCGATGTTTTGTTTATTTAATACATTTTAGAATAAGGCATTCAAATGTTTCAACAAAATTGGGATCCTTAACATTAAGAAAAATCCCTAACCAAAAAACAAAGTTGTATTTTTGTTTTGCAAAATTTTAATCACAATGCAGTTATAACAAAACATATTATTTTCTGTGCTATAGCCTAACTAGACGATAGGCTATAAAGGCCTGGGGAAAGAGGGGAAGAGGCCAACTTTAGGCTACTCAAGGCATGCAAACCAAGACGCTGTGCGATCCAGATTACCAAGACATTCTTTCTGCCTGCCCCTCTCTCTCCCTCGCTCTGGCTTGCCTGCTCTTGCTCTTCGCCAGAGACCTGTATATGATGACGATATGCTCATGTCTCCGCCCTAACAATAGGAGTCGTTGTCCCAAAGGCGGGAAGGCAGGCGACAAGCTCAGGTCCAAAATAAGCCCATAGAAATGCATTGGGCTTATTTTAGACTGATTTTGGCGAGTGAAACCTCTCGCTTCGCCTCTTCCTCTGAGTCTTTGCTAATGATGCTAGTGTGTGTTCAGTCTTCGGTGTGTTGAGTGTAGAATATCCTAGCCTATTCATTGATGATAGGCCCTGCTTTACTGAAGTTGCGAGACATGGCAAGCCAAGAAATTGCGAGATACAGCATTCCATTGCGTGATACAGCTTTTGATTGCCGATAGATAGGCCTAGTGCACGGTTCTGACTGTCTGGTGGCTGACCTGCCCTATACTGATAGATAGGCCTAGTGCACGGTTCTGACTGTCTGGTGGCTGACCTGCCCTATACTGATAGATAGGCCTAGTGCACGGTTCTGAATGACTGCCTGCTGGCCGACCTGCCTATAGTGTGCCCCTCCCCCCCTCTCCGTCCCTTGCTAGCTCGCTCTGAAAGATGCGAGTGTTTTGTGTTCTCGGAAGTATAGCAACTAATCAGTCTCCTCCATTCCCAAAAAATCTTAGGAGCCGATTCTTAGCGGAATCGAACCTTAACTCAGAAATGGGAGTCGACACCGGGAGTCGACATGCAAGGAGTGGAGGAATGAATCATTTTGGAGTCGACTCTCCACCACTACGTCATCGGCGTTAACTTTAGAAAAGAGAAAGGCCAGCGACAGCAGAGAAGGCCGAAGTTAAATGAGAATAAAATACTAATTTTGCGAGGTGGAATTGAGGTACAGTGATGGTAGTACAGGTGCAGTGCTTAACCATCTGAAAGGAACACACCGTGAGACCCAAACCGTTGCAGGCAGCACAGCTGCATTGTGAATGGCAGTTTAAACATGAATAATTTCTTTCGATTTGTCACATCCCTGGTGTGTGTAGTGGGTGCATACACTGTATGTGAATGGCTTGTCTGTTTGCACAGACACCACTCCCTCTGTGTGCATATTGAGTTATCTGCCATCTGCTTATTTGTCCCTGCAGACGACGAGGCAGCCCAGACCGGAGACGTCGCCTTGGAGACGGACGGCCTGGATGAGGAGGAGCGTGGACTGATCCGCAGCGAGCCAATGGGAGTGCGGGAGGAGCCGCTGGGCAGCGTGAACGGGAAACCGGAGGCGGACGACAAGGAGAACAGCAACAGAACCAGCGCTGAGGAGCCTCTGGCTGTTAGGTATGACTCACTCACTCTCACACACACACAGAATGCCACTCCCAAATGCTCTAGACACAATGATATAGGACTATTTTGGCTATAGGCATCTTTCATTCACTCCCTCCCTCTCTCCCTCTCTCCCCTGCAGTCCAGTGCCTAAGGGTTGTTTAGTTGGGGGCTCAGAGTTCCTGAATGAGGACTCTAACATGCTGGCCCCGGGGCTGAATGGTAAGCCTGGCCCCTGGAGCTTTGAGGAGCTCATTGACCTGGGCGTCAACTCCAAGGGCCGGCCCCTCATCAATGCCGACGGCCACAACCAGGGCCTCATCGACTGTGACGGGTCCCCCGAGGGGCCCAGGGTGGCCTTCGAGGACAAGGGGACCCCCGTGGCCACCCTCCACCCCTCCAGTCAGCCCATCGAAGCCCTGTCAGGTGAGATAAAAGTATTTTAGAAACAACTGTTTGTAAAGTTGATTTACTGCTACTGTACTGCACATGTTGTATAGAAAAGTGAATAGCTTTGTGAATATCAAATATTGACACTTGTTTTCTCTCTCTCTCTCTGTAGAGATGTGAGGCTGCAGCTTTCCCTTCAGAGGCCTGTGAATATTGCGCTCCTAGAGTTCCTGTCCAGCTGAGCTCCAGACCCCCCTACCCCCTCCACACACACCTACCCACATACACACACCAGCCCTTAGCCAGAGGAAGAGCACATGGGGTGAGGGGGAGACGGTGACTGCCAGAACGCTAACTTTGCACCCCCCACCACAAGAAAATAAAAAAACGTTTTCAAATATCTAAAAAGAGAAACAAAGCTTCAGGGAAAATCTCTATTCCTTCAATGTACTCGCTGCAAGGGCTCTCATCCTTCCATACTTACAACATTTGACTCGGTTCTTTTTTTAAATGTTGTTTTGTTCATACTGTTGATGTTTTTTAAGTGTTGGGCAGGGCGTGCAACGTAATTTATTAATTTTGGCTTCTTCGTAAAATGTAATTACTGTTATCTCATGTCTAGTTTTTAGGGGGGTTAGTCTTGTTTGAGAATATTCCAGGATGTATGTACATAACACTTTGCTATATGATGGCTATGAGTTCATTACTTCTCATGTCATGATTGAGTCAGGAAACTCTAGTACCCCCCCCAGATGTGATAAAACACATTCTGATTGGTGGGGAGTGGGCTGGGGCACCTGGGTACTGTAGTCTCTCAGGGTCTGCCTACAGGGGCCCTAAGCATCTCCAGTGGGTGAGGGAGCAGTTACACAAACGTGTGTTATGACCTGCCGGTGCCCAAGCCAGGAGCAGCACTATGTAACTCTAATCCCATCCTACCCAAATTGTAATCCGACCTAGAATTCTGGATTTGTCTGGCTGGCGGCTTTTCCTAGACTTGCTCTCCTTTAAACTCTCTAGGCCCTATTCTTCCATGGTTTACCCCTCTCCCCTGTGCCCCAAAGGGCTGGTCAGAGCCCCTCTGCCTCCCTCGCCATCTCCCACCACTCCCTCACTCCTGCTCTTCTCCTTAGGGCCACTAGGAGGCACTCATGTCTATAAATCAAACAAATGGTTTTATGAAATGACTGTTGCCTGCTAACCTAAGGTAGCAGGCAGAAAATCAATGCCTGAGCGGGGTCGGAAGAAACCGGAAACATACAGTTTTCAAGCTTCGCCTCTTCGCTGCTTTTCGCCTGAAACCCGGATGTTTCCGGTTTTCCTCCGACACCGCTGAGGGTGGTTGCCTACTACTTAGAATTTACAAACTGAAGGATGTAGGAATTTGACAAACTGGTGATTTAGTAAATATTTTAACTGTTGCTGTTAACTTTCGGTTCCTGGTCTTTAGGTTTATGTCCTAAGATCTTGACATGTTATGGTTTTACATGTATATAGACTTAATGGTTTACTAACTCATATCAAATTCTAATTTAATTGTATCCTGAGCACTGAAATATAACTTGACCCCCAGCAATGACTGCATGAATCTATATTCTTACCATATGAATGGCTATAGCCCATAACGGAGTAACGTGTATGTTGGTTAATTGCAGTCAGACGAGGTCCATGAGTTTCATTTTACGTCACTTCAGAATTGCTAATGACTTTTCTCTGAGGGGTGTACTAGTCCAGAAACGAACTTGAATGGTTGGAAGTTCTCTCTTACGACGCCCAACGTTCCTTTATAGGCATCTCAGAGCTGTTTTGACCCGGCTGTAGATGTATGCAGTGTCTCGTACATTCCCTGTCTGTCTGTGTAGCTTGTTCAAGACTAATTCCAGTGCTTCTCCACTAAGCTTCTGTTACCTCTCCTGGCAAAAAAAAAAACAAAGAGCAAAAAAACATTTGTATCAATTATTTTTATAATAATTTGGCTGTCTGTTTATATACAGTATATGAAAATATATTTCGACATATTTAAGTGTTATTGTATTATGTATATAATCAGTATTGAGCCAATGCACCCATGGGTGGGGTGGTGTACTGGGAATGGATGTTAAGTCTCGTTATCTGTTACTTTATTTAAATGTTGGTTCTGTTAGACTCGTGCCCTTTGCCAGGGTAGTCAGTGCTGTTACCCTATGCTCTGTTCTAAATCAAGCCCTATCTCTTACCCACTGGGTACTTTTGTAGATTGGATCGGTGTAAGCAATATGGCAACGATTCCACAAGGTTAAGCGATTATATTGCTTATACCTATCAAATACTTACAAATCACCTCAAGGGATAGGGATTAAGAGTTGGTGTGGAATTGACTCAGGTCAGGTTTGGGTGTTACCCATAGGGCTACAGGAAACCCTCTTCTCCAGTACTCCATAAGCCTAGGGCAGGGGATCCTCATACTGTAGAGGGAAGATGTCTGTGTACGTTGATTGAGGGCATTTTGTGAGGCTCTAAAAGGTTCTGCTTTTCATCCCCCAACCACCTCTGATAATTGCCTTGGTTCCCAACTGAGGGGTGGAAGACGCAGAAATGTTCTAGTGCTTTTTCACATGGTGTGAAAGGTTGCAGGGATGGTGTCTGAAGGTTACAATAGGAACGTTAATATGGACTGCCACTACGCCACACACCTCTCTGTGTAGCAGCAGTGTGACGGAGTGAGTCTACCACTAAATGATGGAGACGGCAACAAATGCCATTTGGTCAGTCTTGTTCTTGTCTCGTTTATGGGTTCCTTAAAAGCTGTGTCCAGAAGCTTGAATTCCCTATGCTTGAATCGTCCAAAACAGAGAGGTTTGGGGACCTTGTTTGCTTCATAATAAACTTGTTGACTCTGTCACGCTAATAAACCAGAAGGTTTCTCTGAAACGGCTTTATATTATAAATACTCTATGTCTAGACGGAGGCCCATGAGCTTTGAGAATGTAACTTTTACTAAACAAACAAGCCCTTAATAATTTAACACGCTTCTCTCTCTGAGGATAAACTTTTTTGTTTTCATGTGCAAACAGTTGTATTATTCATCACAACATCAGACGCTTTGCACTGTGGGAGGTTTTCCACTTTTAGAAAGAAAGGGTTGAAAAGCTTTCTGAAATGAATTACATTTTGGAGATGGGGTTAACTTATCACCAAGAAGTAGCTTTACTGTGTAGGCCTGTTGGAGAGGTGTGGTATTCTTGTTTCTCTATTCTCTCCTGTCTCCTCCCATCCAGGCCGTCTATGAACTCCCCTCCTTGACTTGACAAACCTTTTATCTATTCAAAAGTGCAGGGGATTGCTGTAGACTGGTTTAGAATGAAACACAGGATTGTTCCTTGGTCAGTGCTACATGGCAGTGGCGCTGGCACATTCAGTCACAGATACTGTAGATAGGGCCAATACATGAGTCGCTGCTCTAATACTAGAAATGTTCCAGGTCCTGTTATGTTTTTTAATTCCGATCCTTATCTGCATCTGTGGGCCTGAATACAGAGCTAACTGTTCTTAATGATCTCATGATTCAGTCGCTATGACAGTAGAATAGAATGCCTTAGATTGAGAAGACTGTATTTTTATTTTATAGTAATGAATAACTAATCAAATGTGTCACGTCTCCTTACTTCGGCCATGACAATCATTCTACCCGACCAGGGCTACAGTGTGAATATCAATAGCTTTCTGGAGGCTTTTCAGACCCTAACCCAAGCCATGTCCACAAATTATATTTGTAAATATATCTAGTGTTCTGGGAAGATATGAACCGTTAAAAAAATAAAGTTTTGCTAAGTAAAAGTAGGCGTTTGTTATTTCTGTCTAGCAGGTGAAAATAAACTCAATTTTGTTGCTTGCCTTTATTGATCCACCATAATGTGCATTCACATCCCAAACGTTCACTCCACTTCAAAAAGATACAGTATGACTACATGATTAGATTACTATCTCATAACACCACTTGATACCTACAAAAAATACCTACTTTGTCCATACTGATTATTACATGAAGCGTTCGTTATATGTCTCAACCCTCATACATAACCCCTCTGCAAACATCACTTCAGAGATGCCATGACTGATTATTTAGGAAAGCTAGAATATAATTCAAGAAGCAACAGGAAACATGTAATTGCCATATTAGTATTCTCAAAGCACTGGTCCAGTAAGGCACTGAAAATAGCATTCCCTAATATGGCTATGCAGTGTTCAAGCTTTTTAGTATTGCATATCGCAGGCCCACAAAAGCAAACCAGTTGGCGTGTGTTAGTATTCATCAATGACAAAACACTGGAACAAGATTCATATTCAGCTGCTGTTCAAATTAATTCAGGTAATTGACCTTTCTCTGTAGTTTTAACCCTTGGCTTGACCGCTCAACTTGAGTTAGTTGGCACTAGTTGATGTTCTGGCCCTATCAAAACATGACTGACAGACATAACTTGTTTGGCCCTCTGGCTGGCTGTGCTCACAGCTTCTTAGCACAATCAGGGCAGTAGATGTTCTCTCCGTTGATGACAAAGCGCTTGTTGGCCAGGGAGAGGGAGCATTTCTTGCAGTTGAAGCAGTATTCATGCCAGGAGTGGCCCTCATAGTTCACCACGTTGGTCCCATGGCCAAACCCTGTATTATGGGAGATGGTATTTGCAGCAGTCAGCATAGTATTGGGCCAGATATTTGATGACCAGTGCCGTTTACAGCCAAAATATAATCTCAACAATGCCACATCCTGCACATAATTAAATCCTTTATCATCTCTTTTACCATATGTAAACTAAAAATGTATGCACACATGACTGTAAGTCGCTTTGGATAAAAGCGTCTGCTAAATGGCATATTATATTATATTATATATAAAAACAGAGCGTCTGTCCATACAATAAATATCAGGCATACATGGTCATGTAAAATGTGTGTGGGTGTCTGACCTGTGATGGGGTTCTTACAGCCGTTGCACTGCTTGGCAACGGAGGTCTTGTAGCAGTCCACACAGTAGACGTGCTCCTCATGGGAGGTGAAGCGGGTTCCGGCCAGGCTCTTACGGCAGGTACGACACACAAAGCACTCAGAGTGCCATGGCTGGTCCTGGTAGCTTATACCACCTGAAGTGATGGGCTGAGGGGAGAGAAACAGAAAGCATTTCCTTTAACTTGTACCTTAAGAATACTATAATTAGGTCTACTGTAATTACACTGTCATAAGGGACAGATAAAAATGTACTGGGGGGAGGTGTGGTCCAAAATAGGGGAGGGTTTTTGGCTTTGGGGAGGGTTGTGTGGTTTCCCTGGTTTACATTCCCTCTTCTGCTCATATTTTCCCTATAAACAATGGCTTGACTTACTTTTGATATTATCCTAATAAAGTTTAGAAACGTTTGTAAAGGTTTGGTACGGTGTGGTTATTATTAAGCTTTAACTACTGCAGGCCTATGTATGATATGAAGACTGACTCCAACAGTTGAACTTGAGGTGAGGAAGACTGTTTCAGGCCTACCAGAGTTACTCCTATAATCTAACAATATAATGCTTATCTTTATACAAAATATTTGGATTGAAAATTTACAAATTACTTGTGTACATCTATATCTGTATAGCAGATGCAGTACCCATCTGACATAAAGAAATGCATGTTGGTGTCGTAGCATGCTGCCGGCATATCTCTATCTCTCTGGGGTATATGATATTAATATCATACAGCAGACACCTAAGCCATAGATAGGCCTTTGCATGCAATGCCCTGATGCATTTAGTGCTGAAACTTCTGACAGCTGAACCGTGAGGTGGACAATTCTTGTTTTAGGAAAGTAACCTAACCCCCCCCCCCCCCCAAAAAAAAAATAGGCTGTAAAGTTTAGCATATGCTACACATCGAAACACAAAAAAATTGTGTTTTTGTAATTTGTTATAGGCTGTTTTTAAGGACACGTAAATGTGGCTCATTTGGCCAACATCCCTTGTTTATTGATGGCGCTGGCTGCGCCAGGTCGGATCTGAATGCATATGGATGTCCATAAAATTTCTAAACTGTCCGGTAAATTAAAATCTTCCCTGTCATGTTGTCCGGTGCCAAATTTTCCTACAGGAAACTCTGAAATGGCATATTGTTTTTATGAAGATTTTAGAATATTCACATGAAAATCGGTCTCCAATTGGATGGAAACCTAGCTATAGACACCCTAAAGACTCTGGCAAGGGCGCTAGTCCAGTGGCACTTATGCCTGCACAGCATTGTTCACCAGCAGCTCCAAACATCTAAAGATAAGAGACTAAGGATAAAGAAAGAATAAGCTAGCAGCCAAACAAGCTTGTAAGAATTGTACTTAAACTTCCCCCTCATACTCATCTGAAGGTTGAGCATTCTTTCGTCTCTATCTCTGTAATGTGTCTGTATCTCTGTAATGTAGTAATAATAATAATAATAATAATAATAATAATAATGTGTCTGTATCTATGTAATGTGTCTGTATCTATGTAATGTGTCTGTATCTATGTAATGTCTATCTATGTAATATGTCTGTATCTGTGTCTGTATCTCTGTAATGTGTCTGTATCTCTGTAATGTGTCTGTGTCTATCTCTGTAATGTGTCTGTATCTATGTAATGTGTCTGTATCTCTGTAATCTGTCTGTATCTCTGTAATGTGTCTGTGTCTATGTAATGTGTCTGTATCTCTGTAATGTGTCTGTATCTCTGTAATGTGTCTGTATCTCTGTAATGTGTCTGTATCTCTGTAATGTGTCTGTATCTATGTAATGTGTCTGTATCTATGTAATGTGTCTATCTCTGTAATGTAATAATAATAATAATAATAGTGTCTGTATCTATGTAATGTGTCTGTATCTCTGTAATGTGTCTGTATCTATGTAATGTGTCTATCTCTGTAATGTGTCTGTATCTGTGTAATGTGTCTGTATCTATGTAATGTGTCTGTATCTATGTAATTGTTTATGTATTTATGTTTTAAAAAATAGGGACCACAATGGAAATAAGTCCCTGACTTTATTGTGCAATCCCGGTCACTTTTAAAATATTTGTGTATATGTATGTATTTTTTAAACGGACAAATAAGATCAATCAATCAGTCAATTCAAACTGTGCAGCGGCCACTGTTTGTTGAGATTGACATAGTCTATTTATTGTGGTGTTGAAAACGCAAACCATGATATTGAAGTGCCCGAAGTCGGTATGCTTTGTTTTTTTTTGTTTTTTTTTCTTATATTATTTTTTATTTTTTGCTTTGTTTATTGGTTGTGTGTTGCATTGGCACAGAAACCTGTTGTTGGAATATTCGTTGCATATATTTTATATAATTATAAATATGGCATCAAAATGTTGAAAATCCGATTTCCCCCTAGTCTGCAGCCGGCTTTGATCGTAGTGTAATGAAACAGGCAGGGAGTGTGAGCTCGTCTGTGGTGGTCGGTGAACCATCAACCTTCTGGCCCCTAGCCCTACGTGGCATTGACTGTGCCACAAAACCATGTTGAAGTGGCAAAGTTGATATCCACGTTTATAAACACAGGGTCACTACAGTTCTCGTTATGTGTGGTCGTAAACATACTTTAGAGTTAATTCTATGAGGGGGAGGATGTTCAATTTGTTTTACAGTAAACGGGGAGGGTCACAATATAAGGGCAAAATTCACAATATAATGAAATATGTTTTTCTGTATGTGGGTGTGTGAAGGGGCAGATTTTGTTTTTCACCTGCTTGCAGTGGAAGCATTTCTTGGCAAACTTCTTCTCATGGCACGGGCCGCAGTAGATGTCATCGCCCTTGTTCAGGAAGCTCTGCGAGCGGATTGGCTGCTTGCACTCGAAGCAGGTGAAGCACTCCTCATGCCACACCTTCTTCTTATACTCCACGTTCTGGGTGCCTGGCAATCAAAGATACAATAGATTACAATAAAAACACCTGTTTCATACAGTGTGGGAATTGAAAATGTAAACAGCAGCCACGTGCATAGTGCTAGGTCACGTTAAGGACAGATGAAGAAGTGCATTGTGGTTATGGTTAAGCACACCTGGCATGACCACCTTGTAGCAGGCCTGGCACCGGTTGCCATCCTCGCAGGAGCCACACTTGCCACACATGATCTTGCCGTCGTCCCTGGCGCTGAAGGGCTCGTTGGCCAGGGGCTTGTAGCACTTGGCACAGCGGAAACAGTCCTCATGCCAGTGGCGGTTCTTATGGTTCAGCTCCTGGACATGGAGGAGGGGAGAGGGTGAGGAGTGAGATACATTCATTCACATGAGCTTCATACACACCTCATTAAACTGAGGCTCATTTCTTAATCAATTGTAGGCTACGGTATTCAGAAGGGTTTGCCATAAAACAGACTATGTCCATCTGGAAAGCATTATTAGCATTGGAGATGAAGTGAATTTGAGTGCAGCGTAGCATGAAGGACTGCCAGCCAATACGGGCAGTCTGAGGTAGACAGCAATGGTGAAACGATCCTACAGGGTTAGTTAGTAATTATAGTGTCTTTAAGACAAGTATCAAATCAAAACACATTTGATTGGTCACATACACAAATGTAGCAGATGTTATTGCGGGTGTAGCGAAATGCTTGTGTTCCTAGCTCCAACAGTGCAGTAGTATCTAACAATTCACAACAATACACAAATCACAAAACGTTTTTAAAAAATCTGTGTCCGTGACTGAATGCTGACTGTTGCTGCTTATTGAGGAAGAACAGATAAGAAACACTGGCCTTAATCTGCACATATGAACTGAAGCCAGTCAGCCTACTGAACACACACACATACACACATTTAAGGGCACACACAAACACGCACACTCACAAGGACAGTCCTACACACACAAACACAATACCCACCTTGGCATCAGCCCCAATGGGGCGACGGCATTCTGCGCAGGTATTGGCACAGAGCTTGTCGAAGCACTTTGTACACACGTGCTTCTCTTCCTTCTTAACATACTTCTTCCCATGCAGGTTGTCACGGCAATAGTAACAGTCGAAGCGTTCAGTCATTGTGGAAGTAGCGTAGCTCCTCGGCCCTGTACCAACACAAACAACAATCACATTTACTATTGGGGATCAAGTCATGTATACATGATTAACTCGTCAAATTAATTGATTGACAAGTAAATAAATGTAATTAGAGATTCATTGATTGGAAGTATGTAAAACTGTCAAGGCTCTAGTTTAGTTGGATGTGATGTCCCAGAGTCACCACAGGGAGGCAGTGTAGGTTACATTTTGATTGAGTCAACCACTACAGACTTCTGCGATACAGATTGAATAGAGCCCTAGATCTCAATAAGGTCCATGTGAGCCTACGAGAGAGTATCCAGGGACATGTAATACCTATATGACTTATGTAATACTTAATATTCATCATATTCTTATACTATGATCCTCAGCTCTCTGCAACCCTTCCCTGCGTAATGACCCTGGGCCTTCCAAAGTCCTCACCTGCCATTAACACATACACACACACACACACACGGCCTGTCATGTGTACTGATTGACAAAACATGGTCCTGTCTATGGGGCACCCAGACACACAAAAACCTATCCATCATCCAAGCTAAGAGAGACATGTTCAAGCTGGCATCCCAGTAAGTGTCCTGTCCTCTAATCAGAACCAGCCAGGTGAGGGGCTTAGCACCGGCATGCCAAACAGCTGAGGGAAGTGGAAAATGACTGCCTCAAAATGGCCCACAGATTTCTGCCTGTCCTGAACAGAGCTTTAGCGTGTAGTCATCACTCTGTGTCTGACTCGGCCCCACGGGGACTGGGTGACTTTATCAGGCTTTTCTGGAAAGTTTAGGCCATATTTTTAGAGCGCTTGTCTCACTCACTCCAACACACCCCATCCAACCACCTCCTCTCTCACCTTTGTGACCTTTTTGGCAGTGTCGTTTCATTGGCTCTTAGTGTAAACAAAAACGTCCCCCTGCTCCTCTCATCAACATTCCCATCACAATGGGCAGAGACATAGCTGTTTCCTGGAAGAGATTGGTGTGTGTGTATGTGTTCTAGGGCCTCCCTGGAATGAACCATGCTCTTTCAGCCTTTCAGCGACCGTATGTGTCATCTGGATCATCTAAATTACGCCAAAACTACCAAAGGTCAATCAGTCTGGATCTCTATGCTGGGGTTAGCCGTTTGGGAGCCAGAACGAAATTATCTGTGATTTATGAGACACAACAGATGAGAGTTGAGAAGTATCTTAATCCGGTTTAAAAATGAGAGTGATGGAGAGAAATACTAATGAGGGAATGACATTATATCCTGGTAGCCATGGGAACACTGCAAATATTTACAAAAGCCAATTGGTGCTCTTCGAGGTGTCTGGGGATGTGTGTGGTGTGTGGTGAACTGAACAGGATTAGTTTCAGACGCTGTGGTATGTGCTCTCTCCCAGCTGTAGTGTCCAGTGAGGATGGATGGGTGGGTGGAACAGGGGAAAGAGAGAGGCCTGTCTTCAGCTGTGCCAGAGGGATAAAGGAGGCAGCCTAGCTTAAGCCCCGATACTGAGTCACCGGTGAGTCACCCCCATTCTTATCTCAGTGGTACGAGCCAATCAGGATCAGTCCATCAGAATCAAACTGGCAGGACTGGATCAGTGGCTAGATTAGGGGGAGTAGGGTAGCAAAGTATCACAGTCTCAGAAGCCCGAATCCATCTCAAATTGAGTAAACCATGCATTCCATTCTGGTTTGTAAGCACTGTGCCCTTGTGGCAGGGACATCACTGGGGCCGAGCTCCCTGCCATCCAGGACCTCTATAACAGGTGGTCAGAGGAAGGCCCCAAAAATGGTCAAAGACTCCAGTCAACCAAGTTATAGACTGTTCTCTTTGCTACCGCACAGCAAACGGTACCGGAGCGCCAAGTCTGGGACCGAAAGGCTCCTGAACAGCTTCTACCCCCAAGCCATAAGACTGCTGAACAGTTAATCAAATGGTTACCCGGACTATTTGCATTGACCCCCTTTTTTTTTTGCACTGACTCTCTTGCACTGGCTCTATGCACACTCACTGGACTCTACCCACACACTCACACATACTACACTGACACTCCAACACACACATACACACACACTACATATGCTCACACAAAACACACACATACATATTGACGCCACACTCACACATAGACACACTTTCACACTCTTCACATGCTGCTGCTACTATGTTTATTATCTATCCTGATTGCCTAGTCACTTTTACCCCTACCTCAACTACCTCTTATCCCTGCACCTTGACTCCGTACCGGTACGTACAGGTACTCCTTGTATATAGTCTCGTTATTGTAATTTTATTGTGTTACTATTTCCTTTCTTATTTAGCACATTTTTCATACTTTTTCACTTTGCATTGTTGGGAAAGGGCTCGTAAGTAAGCATTTCATAATAAAGTCTACACCTATTGTATTCAGCGCATGTGACAAATAAATGTTTTATTTGATTTGATCAAGGCCCACAGTCAGAGGAGTGACTTTTGAGGACACTATGGGTGCCACTGTGCCACCGTGACCATTGTGGGTCTAGATGCCTAATAAAAGGGCAGAGTAATTAAACGCTAAGCCTTTCAGCTACCGCCAATCACACAGCTCCCCCCACAGAAACAGAAATGGTATGCACCAGCGTTCTGTAGGAGGGGTTGGAGTATACCACTTTGGTCCCTGGGGTGGGAAGCACTCTACAGTGGAAAGGTCCGAGTAAGAGCACAGTGAGTGGTGAACCAGGATGGTGCCAGGGAGCCTGGCTCTCACCACCATTGATGGCTCACTGATGGCAGATCAAAGCCAAACGGCTCCCAGAGAGAGAGTTATGGAGGTCAGGCAGATCAACTGTTAGTATCTACCATGTGACACCTCTGTCTGACTCATAATGTACCAAATTAACATTGAATGAATCATCTTTGATTCACTACTGACTGCCTAAATGATGCTGTCCCAAGGACTTCATTTCCATTAAGTGCATTAATCCTGCTGTAAATAGCATTGCCATGAAAAAGGTCAAACTGTCACTTTTCTCCCAAAAAAAATCTTTCAACCTCTATGGACCTTTTTTCTCCCTCTGTGATGTCACAAGACCTTTGTTTCCTTCCACCAAAAAAAGTATCAATAATCAGAAAAAGTACTCCAGGTTCCCAAACGTTTTTCAATTCTGACCCACTAAACAAACCCATGTTTCTAACCAAGACCCAAGACGAACTTCCCACAACCCACCAGTCAGTGTCTCTGACCGGACTTGAGAAAATCTCCCCAAACCACCACCACTATTCCAGCACTAGGTATCAGTAATGGAATAAAATCACATGAACAAGACAAGCATCAATCACAATGCAACAGCCTATTTCTTTACCTGAAAGTCTGTAAGCCATGTTTAGGTCCAGGTAAGGAGAGGCGAAAGACAGAACCAAGGACCGGAGGAGAGAGTTGCATCCACACAGGGTGATCCACAAGGTATAGGCTATATATACCCGCCCTCTGATCCACGCCCACAGCTGCCCCTCACCCTCTCACCCCCTCACCCCCACACCCCCTAACCCCCACACCCCCTAACCCCACACCCAAATCATGAACCATTCCATTTTAGGATATGCATCAATATAATAGAGTGTATGGGAGGGGGGCAAAGAGGGATTCCTAAGGTCTGGAATGAGGACCACCAGAGGCAACAGATAGTATACCGCCACTGCCCCTATGATATTTGTTTGTTAGTGTGTAGAATGTGTTTTAGTACATGAATAGGTTCATATCAAACATCCGAAGAAGGGCTGAGAGAGTGAAGCACTGCAACCGACCAGCATGTTGATATCATTACTCAGTGAAAGGCATTGTGCAAACAGGCTGAGTGTCAATCAAACCTTAATTTATGGTTTGTTTATTTAGTAACACTTTATATTACCATAAACACTTAGAACATGGTGGAAGGCTTTTTAGGAAATATGCGTGCGTGCGTGCGTGCCCATGTTGCGTCTGCATGTGTGTGCCTGTGTGTGTCTACAGTATGTGTTTGTGTGTGTCTGTATTTACATAACTCAATGATGTGTGCTAAAAACTATGTTCTAAAGCGCTCCCAGCCAAGGTTATTTTCAAGCACTTTGTTTTTCAGTGTTGAATACCTCTATGACCTTAGTGGCTCTCAACAAAAACATTTCCTTGAAGGTACCGAAGATGACATTTGTAACACAAGGGAACTATACGCCACAGACCAGGGATCATCAACTAGATTCAGCCATGGGCCAATTTTTTCTTGAGCGGATGGTCGTGGGGCCGGAACATAATTACAAATAATTTGTAGACTGCAAATTGACCGCAAGAAGCCCAAACAGATATAACATTTGACTAAAACATAATAATTTCAAACCTTGCTTACGTTTGTATATGATCACATACACTGAGTGTACAAAACATTAGGAACACCTGCTCTTTCCATGACATAGACTGACCAGGTGAATCCAGGTGAAAGCTATGATCCCTTATTGATGTCACCTGTTAAATCCACTTCAATCAGTGTAGATAAAGGGGAGGAGACAAGTTAAAGAAGGATTTTTAAGCCTTGAGACAATTGAGACATGGATTGTGTGTGTGCCATTCAGAGGGTGAATGGGCAAGACAAAAGATTGAAGTGCCTTTGAACGGGGTATAGTAGTAGGTGCCAGGCGCACCAGTTAGAGTGTGTCAAGAACTGTATAATCATGACTCATCATCAAGTCAATGACCAGAGTAAAGAGATCCCTTTGTTTGTTGTTACCCTAATGAGTTTTCCATGTCTCCGCACTTAAATGACATCCTATCCTCTACACAGAGCACTACATTTGACTAAAGCCCTTTGGACCATGGTCAAAAGCAGTGCACTATATAGGGAATAGGGTGCCATTTGGGACAAAACCCATATCAATCAGGAGAACAACAACATTACAGGCCAGACAGGGGACAACAGATCCAACAGAAGAGAATAGAAAGCAGTGGCTGTTTGTTTAAGGCATCTGGTCGTAATTGCAGATTTGATTTGTCCCATTACTGATGTTTATTCAGTCACTGCCGGTCTGTTTATATCATCTGTCCCTCAAACTAAACCCACAGAGAAACATTAATGATCAGGCAGGCACCATGGACACCACACCACACCACTTAAAGCCCCCTGAGGAAGAGTCCTGTCTTCTCTTCTCTGTTTAGTACAGATGTAGGATCTTAATTTGAGCCAGTTTGCTACAGCAGGAAAATAATCCTGCAGCAACAGGAAATGTGAATTATTTTGTGGATTATAATGAATGGACAGTTTTGTAGGGGTTGATATGTTTTTCGTAAGGGAAAATCAACTCAGAAATGTCCAACTTCAGAAGCCTTTTTAAACCCCAAACACACTACAAGTTTAACATTTCCTGCATTGCAGGAAATCTATCCTGCAACAGGGTGATCAAATTAAAATCCTACATCTGTACGCTCATCCCCCACAATTCCCCTTTCTGCCTTGTACGGCCTCCATCAGTTATTCTCTTAATTTCTCTCTCTCCCTCCATCTCTCCCTCTCTCTCCCTCCATCTCTCCCTCTCTCTCCCTCCATCTCTCCCTTCATCTCGCCGTCTGTCTGGAACAGGCAGTTGTTTTGTTGATTAAAGCTTTAAAGCTGTCTATGTTTTAGTACTGTACAACAATATAAATCAGTGTGTGTGTGTTTGTGTGTGTGTGAATGTGCGTTTGTCCGTGCATATCCCTGTGCTCATGCGTGTGTGTAATGTTGACAGCGGTGTGACAGGCTCGTTTGCGGGTTCGGCTGTTGAGATTGTGTCTATTCTCCTGGTAGACAGTAGCAGAGGAACGTGGGCCCACCTGCCCACCTGTCAGTCCCTTAGGTCCTGCCCTATACAGGACAGAAATAGCACAACACACTCACCCTGGCTCCATCAGCAACAACAAACCTCACCAGAACCACAAAGAGCTTTTCTAACTACAAGATGTACAAGATGTGGTTGGTTAGCCAATAGCCATTCAGATGTGACTCATACTGTAGGAAAATGGAATACCATTTCTAATCTACATGTTGCAGTGTGTCTGCCTGTCCAACAGAGATGGGGACTCTTTACAGTCTCAATATAACCAGAGATCTAGTGCATGGAAAGCTATTTCCAACACAAATTAGATGTAATGTGTGTTGATGGAGTGTTCCTCTCTCTCTGGGGTGTGGCCTCAGTCTCTACTCTCTCTAGGAGAGATCAAAGAGGCTGTTCGGATGAAAACCTGGCAGCAGTTCTGTAGTGGTGGTGGTGGTGATGGATAAGGCATAAACATCACATATCTAACCAGACAGAGTCTTATTGCTCATGTTACCAGGGGGATTAAATAGGACGCCTGGAGTGGACTTCCTGACCAAACGCAGGAATAGGTCCTGACTAGGTCATTAGAACATGCCTCCACCTCTTCTACTGTGCAGACTAGCATACAGACACAACCTAAGATCACCATAGCACTGTTCCCTGTGAGACAGACATATATATCACTGAGGTCCACTGGCAACATGCATTATTCATTTGGTGTTTGTGTAGGTGTTTGACTTGTCAATAACAGATTTTCCAGGACCAGTACTCTGGCAACAAATGCCAGTCTCTAATCATGATACATAAATGAGTTAATGGATAGTTGTTATAGCCCAGACAGAAACAAAAGGCCGGCCTTTCCAATGGTTCATTTCTCAGATGGTTCCCTCTGTGTGTCTCTCTGAGTTCTGTTGTGACTCAGTCACCATCTGCTCCTGGTCCTGGTCTCTCTGAGTTCTGTTGTGACTCAGTCACCATCTGTTCCTGGTCCTGGTCAGTGGACAGGGTAGTGATAGGGTCATCTTATCTCTGTCAGAGGAGTACTAAAGTATTACTGACTGACCACCACACACAGGGAGACAGTGAGAGCCACAGCACTACTGTATATCAACACACGTTACCTAGCAACAACAGAGGTGCGGGTAGAGTTGTGAGGTGTAGACTGACAGGGTCAAATATGTGTGATTTCTGAGCGGACACGAGGCTGAAAGGCCACAGCCATTTTGTCAACAACTGACATTGTCACATCCATATCCACATCTCACAACCGGACGGGACATAATATCCACAACACTCGATTCAGGAATGACTCGTACTCGCGCACAGAGGTGTGTGTGTGTGTACGTCAAGGGCAGCAGGGTGGGGTACGTGGGAGGATTACTGTATGTGTGTGTTTTTACATTCAACAGCCCCCAAACTTGTTCTTCCATGATGTAGAATTCAGACACACACACACACACACACACACACACACACATTGATAAAGACTTCACGGTGGGCAGGCCAACACTTCAAGCTCCCATTGCTTCTGCATGACTCACAGCTCTCTGGAACTCTGAAAAGGTCAACTGCTCCAATAGCTCAGTCTGCTCGGTTCATAGGATAGGGATAAAGAAATCTGTCCCCAATATATGTCAAGTTGACAAGATAGGATCAGTAGGACAATGGAAACAGCACGTAAAGAAAGACAGACTCACTTGTTCAATGGGCGTGAATTTCCCACTGACTTCATCCGTCCCTATAAGCCAGCAGACCGCACTTAAAAAGTGGTGAGGCCCCAAGTTGCATAATATGGTTAAATTCATGGGACGGAGAAGTATGATTACATCAGTATAGGGTTTGAAGAGTGACACACAACTAATGGGAAAGAGGGAGAGCAGATCTGGGAGTGGGTTATGAGCTCTCTCTTTCTCTACCTCTCTCTCTCTACCTCTCTCTCTACCTCTCTCTCTACCTCTCTCTTTCTCTACCTCGCTCTCCACCTCTCTCTCTCTACCTCTCTCTCTCTCTCTCTCTCTCTCTCTCTCTCTCCTCTCTCTCTCTCTCTCTCTCTCTCTCTCTCTCTCTCTCTCTCTCTCTCTCTCTCTCTCTCTCTCTCTCTCTCTCTCTCTCTCTCTCTCACAATAACAGAGAGAGGTGTGGATGAGGAGAGGGGTAAGGCAGAGAGGTACAGTTCTGAGAATGCTACCCACCCACCCTCACAGCCAGCCAGCCAGTCAGTCAGACATACTACATTGCCTAATTAGGATCTTCTCAGCAGTCAGCTGGAAGGGAGCATGCTGTATCATTGTTTCATATCCTCTACTCATCTACACTCCCTCGCTATCCCTCCCTCCCTCTGTCCTACTCACACACACACACACACACACACACACACAGTGAGGATGGAGAGACGAGGGCTACTGCTCTGAGGCACTAAGACTTGCTCCATTTACTAAGATGAATGAAGATTGTCTGTACTAGAATAAACAGAGGACACTGATGCTTCAGAGGCTGTCTTCTTGGGCTCTGCAGTAACTGATGTGGGCCATACAGGAAACACAAGGCCCTCCAGTAACTGATGGGGGCCATACAGGAAACACAAGGCCCTCCAGTAACTGATGGGGGCCATACAGGAAACACAAGGCCCTCCAGTAACTGATGGGGGCCATACAGGAAACACAAGGTCCTCCAGTAACTGAGCCCACTGATCTAACATCATCATTGTCACAATGTGTTCCAATGGGCACCCTGTCTGTGAACATTGGGTCCTGCTGCTATTGCTGGTGTGTCAGGCTGATATGACTCAACTTTGCATGAACAAATTCTTCATGAAGGCACAAATGCTCACATTATGAACGAACAGAACTGAATCAATTAGTCTGGTTAGAGACAAGGAATGTACTGTAAAGTACCAGATAATGTATCTACCATATTATGAAAAGATATGGGCACTAAACCCAACCCAAAGAGAACATTGTTCAGTATTTTATTGCCTAAAATGGTGATGTCATTGGTACAATGAGAGCCAGTCACAGTAGAGGAGGAGGGGCCTCCCAAGGTGTTCTGAGGCTGCTGCTGCTAGAAGAAAATGACATCATACATTTGGCTTGGCAGCTGGCCAAACCAGTAAAGTGTAGCAGGGCTGAGGGCAACCTACTGTACTGTGTGTTTCAAGGGAGGGTTTTTGGGCTGACCTTGAATAGCCCAGTCGTTATGTAGGCTACTAAATGTAGGCTACTATTATGATGGTATTTTTTAGCACTGATGATGTCAACATGGGCTCAGGGCCCTATTCAATTAAAACGGGTTACCAGATTTAAACTACAGGATATGTCCAAAACAGCATTCTGTGACGTCCAGTTTCTTTCTGTGTCCCATTGTAAACAATATTTTGCTTGAGGTAGACAAATGCTGCTTTTGACCTTTGCCAGAAACCTGGTTTCAGGATTTGATTGAATCGATTACATCATGCGTGTACAGAACACAATAAACCGTCTATAAAAAGGTTTTCAGTGAATAATTGTTCTTTATGTCAGTAAAACTATGAAACTTGGAATAACAATAATTAGTAAATGTAATTGACCAAACTGCTCATTTTAAACCATTAAAAGCTGACCACATAGGCTACAGTAAATTACCAAGTCAGACACTACCCATATGCATATAGACACTTATAGATCTTTGGTTTTATCTGAACTTTGAAAATCTATATATTTTGGTCAACAAAATGTACAGCAGCTACTTTACAAAAAATACTTGAGATGAATGATTGCCAATAGGCTAACATGCACTACGAATAATAACAGCACATGCCTCCAGGTATGGGAAATTACTTTATATCACTGACTATTACAATTCCAGCCCTCCTTATCAGACCTCTTAAGCTGCTTCAAAGCTATGCTGCCCACTACAAGGAATATGATTCTGTAAACCAGCATTCAATGCCCAAAATGCACATGCACCTTGTGTCTAATGTTTTTTGCATTGACCCAATGTCAGAAATTAACAAAAACTGACAACAAATGTAATTCAAACATTTACTCATGTCATAGACATAACCGGAGTAAAGAAATATATGTTATAACAAAAAAGTTCACATTTTACGCACAGTCGGTCCACTGGAACTTTCCCAGTCAAAGAAAAACTTGATTCCAACTTTATAACATACTTTCATAGCTTTTAGATTGTTTTTTAATTCTCATAATATGGGATTTGACTCACCTGTCTCCACACCGAAGCGTCCAACGGTAAGGTTTTTAGCGGGGATGTACCAGACGCGTCGTTGACGCTCCTTAAAAGCAAGTGGAGCTCAGAAAAAAACTGCAGGATATGATCCAAACCTCTCCGTTCATATCAACAATGACCTCAGCCAGGAATTTACAAGCTGTAGCTAATAGGTTCTCACTGGCTAACACTGGAGGTAATGGAAGCAATTCTGTTGCATTCAAAAGGGCTTCTGCTTCACAAAGCGCAATAGGCTACTCTTTGAGAACAGGTATATGAATCAAGCAAACTCAATAGAAGTTTGTAATGTTTTAGTATGGCCTGCATCTCTTGGTGTAGCCCAAGCACTATGCTTTTTTCATTACATACATAGATTTCATTGCCCTCTGAGGAGGATGACTTGTGCTGTCCAGAAAACGAATTAAGGATGAACAGGTTGACATCTATATGTCATCTATATTATCCATACAGTATGTATGCCAGTATTCTCCAGTGCACCCGCACCTCCTTCTTTGGTAATGTATATATTTTGCAGAGAGAGATTGCAACAAGATGAGTCACACTCAGGCTAAGTAGATACATTAGGTGTATCCTTGCTTACCCTTCCTCGAGCCTGAACAGCTGTGTTACTACAAAGGAATAACACAAGTAAATATTATTTTGGATACAATGGAACCACACACGTTCTATCATGTCAGGTACTGTATCAATGACAGAAGAATAACCATATTTTCTATTATATCATTCAAATCAAAAGCATCATTCGATCAACAAAGATAGAAATGACTTGGCTTTACTATTGGCATTTATGGATGGGAAATCCCTTGGGGGTTCACACCCCTCTCCCAGTGGTTCTGTTACCCTGCTGGAAGGGCTCCAGATTGGGCTGCCAGCTGCGCTGCCAGGGCCTGTAGGATTAGCTGTCTCAAGGGCATGGCAGGAGGCTTGGCTGGGAGCTCTTGTAATGCTCTACAAATAAATAAATAAAAGCTAAAGTATCCAGAGAGACCTGGACTCAATTTATACTGAACAAAAATATAAACGCAACATGTAAAGTGTTGCTCCCATGTTTCATGAGCTGAAATAAAAGATCCCAGAAATGTTCCATATGCGCAAAAAGCTTATTTCTCTCAAATTTTGTGCACAAATTTGTTTACATCCCTGTTAGTGAACATTTCTCCTTTGCTGATTAAACAGTATGATCATGAAATGTGCCGTTTTGTCACACAACACAATGCCACAGATGTCTCAAGTTTTGAGGGAGCGTGCAATTGGCATGCTGACTGCAAGAACGTCCACCAGAGCTGTTGCCAGATAATTTAATGTTCTTTTCTCTACCATAAACAGCCTCCAATGTCATTTTAGAGAATTTGGCAGTACGTCCAACCGGCCTCACAACTGCAGACCACCTGTAAACACGCCAGCCCAGGACCTCCACATCCGGCTTCTTTACCTGCGGGATCGTCTGAGACCAGCTACCAGGACAGCTGATGAAACTGTGGGTTTGCACAATCGATATATTCCTGCACAAATTGTCAGAAACCGTCTCAGGGAAGCTCATCTGCATGCACGTCGTCCTCACCAGGGTCTTGACCTGACTGCAGTTTGGCGTCGTAACCGACTTCAGTGGGCAAATGTTCACCTTCGATAGCCACTTGGAACACTGGAGAAGTATGCTCTTCACGGATGAATCCTGGTTTCAGCTGTATCATGCAGATGGCAGACAAATGTTTGGCAGCGTGTATGTCGTCGTGTGGGCGAGCGGTTTGCTGATGTCAACATTGTGAACAGACTGCCCCATGATGGCGGTGGGGTTATGGTATGGGCAGGCATAAGCTATGGACAACGAACACAATGGCATTTTATCGATGGCAATTTGAATGCACAGAGATACCGTGACGAGATCCTGAGGCCCATTGTCGTGCCATTCATCCGCCACCATCACTTCATGTTTCAGCATGATAATGCACGGCCCCATGTCGCAACAATCTGTACACAATTCCTGGAAGCTGAAAATGTCCCAGTTCTTCCATGGCCTGCATACTCACCAGACATGTCAGGCATTGATCATGTTTGGGATGCTCTGCGTTGACGTGTACGACAGCGTGTTCCAGTTCCTGCCAATATCCAGCAACTTTGCACAGCCATTGAAGAGGAGTGGGACAACATTCCACAGGCCACAATCAATAACAGCCTGATCAACTCTATGTGAAGGAGATGTGTCGTGCTGCATGAGGCAAATGGTGGTCACACCAGACACTGCCTGGTTTTTGTGATCCACGCCCCTACTTTTTTTTAAGGAATCTGTGACCAACAGATGCATATCTGTATTCCCAGTCTTAAAATCCATAGATTAGGGCTTAATTTATTTATTTAAATTGACTGATTTTCTTGTGTAACTCAGTAAAATCTTTGAAATTGTTGCATGTTGCGTTTATATTTTTGTTCATTGTAAATAACTCCCATTTTATTTTTATGGTGTCTTTTACAATTTCATAGGCAATGGATGCCTAACAAATTGGCTAAGCTACAGTCCACTTACAACAAGTCTATGGCAATAGCCAGCTAAACTTTTCAACAAGAATAAAATGTTCTCTCAAACAGTTGTAACGTAACTTGGTTTCAGTTTGTGTATATCTCTACTCCAAAATCACTAATCTAACCATCTTTACCTTTTAGAGATTTGAGAGTCACAGCTGGTAATTTGAGAGCCACAGATGGTGATTTGAGAGTTACAGATGGTGATTTGAGAGCCACAGATGGTGATTTGAGAGTTACAGATGGTGATTTGAGAGTCACAGATGGTGATTTGAGAGCCACAGATGGTGATTTGAGAGTCACAGATGGTGATTTGAGAGTCACAGAGGGTACTTTTCACTTAGAGAATGAGAGAGAGTTGGTCGACTTGAGTCTGTAATGTTTTCTTGGTGTCTGGGCCGTTCAAACATCATGAAATATGTGAACTGAACTTATGTAGAGCTGGTGTTCATTTCTACTGAAGGAGAGGGTAAAGGATGACACTGATCTGGTTAGTGTTGTCTCACACACACACACACACACACACACGTGCACAAGCACACACACGCACACATGCATACAAGCACACACACGTGCGCACACACACATACACACACACACACACACTCTCTCTCTCTCTCAAGCAGAAACAAATGCACAGTATCATGGAGAGAATGCTCCCATCTACTCTAAGAGAGATTAACATCTCACTTAGTTGTAAACAAGCACTGGTAACACAGTTAATGAGAGTAAACACATACCTCTCTCTTGGATGGCTAACAAGAAACCATGACACTTTCCTTCCATAAACTGATGATAAGACCCAGCCATTGGGCCTCCTCTGTATGCTAATGAGGATGATGATGAAGGTGATGCTATTGTCTTCCTGTAGATACCAAGGGCATCTTTATTGAGATTCAATAACCTCTGTGTAAATGAAAGCATGACATATTTCCTATGGATGACAGCTTTTCCTGACATACTGCCACAAATCTAGAGGAAATAGAATCTTAGACACGTGTGCTATGTCTTCCATTGTAATTTGAGGGTCTGGCTGGCTAGCAGAGTTAGCTAGCTGATGCCATGTGTTAGCCAGTGGGAAAAAAAGTATTTAGTCAAGCCACCAATTGTGCAAGTTCTCCCACCTGTCATTTTCATCATAGGTACACGTCAACTATGACAGACAAATTGAGAATTTTTTTTCCAGAAAATCACATTGTAGGAATTTTTATGAATTTATTTGCAAATTATGGTGGAAAATAAGTATTTGGTCACCTACAAACAAGCAAGATTTCAGGCTCTCACAGACCTGTAACTTCTTCTTTAAGAGGCTCCTCTGTCCTCCACTCGTTACCTGTATTAATGGCACCTGTTTGAACTTGTTATCAGTATAAAAGACACCTGTCCACAACCTCAAACAGTCACACTCCAAACTCCACTATGGCCAAGACCAAAGAGCTGTCAAAGGACACCAGAAACAAAATTGTAGACCTGCACCAGGCTGGGAAGACTGAATCTGCAATAGGTAAGCAGCTTGGTTTGAAGAAATCAACTGTGGGAGCAATTATTAGGAAATGGAAGACATACAAGACCACTGATAATCTCCCTCGATCTGGGGCTCCACGCAAGATCTCACCCCGTGGGGTCAAAATGATCACAAGAACGGTGAGCAAAAATCCCAGAACCACACGGGGGGACCTAGTGAATGACCTGCAGAGAGCTGGGACCAAAGTAACAAAGCCTACCATCAGTAACACACTACGCCGCCAGGGACTCAAATCCTGCAGAAGCCAGTACATGTCCAGGCCCGTCTGAAGTTTGCTAGAGTGCATTTGGATGATCCAGAAGAGGATTGGGAGAATGTCATATGGTCAGATGAAACCAAAATAGAACTTTTTGGTAAAAACTCAACTCGTCGTGTTTGGAGGACAAAGAATGCTGAGTTGCATCCAAAGAACACCATACCTACTGTGAAGCATGGGGGTGGAAACATCATGCTTTGGGGCTGTTTTTCTGCAAAGGGAACAGGACGACTGATCCGTGTAAAGGAAAGAATGAATGGGGCCATGTATCGTGAGATTTTGAGTGAAAACCTCCTTCCATCAGCAAGGGCATTGAAGATGAAACGTGGCTGGGTCTTTCAGCATAACAATGATCCCAAACACACCGCCCGGGCAACGAAGGAGTGGCTTCGTAAGAAGCATTTCAAGGTCCCGGAGTGGCCTAGCCAGTCTCCAGATCTCAACCCCATAGAAAATCTTTGGAGAGAGTTGAAAGTCCGTGTTGCCCAGCGACAGTCCCAAAACATCACTGCTCTAGAGGAGATCTGCATGGAGGAATGGGCCAAAATACCAGCAACAGTGTGTGAAAACCTTGTGAAGACTTACAGAAAACATTTGACCTGTGTCATTGCCAACAAAGGGTATATAACAAAGTATTGAGAAACTTTTGTTATTGACCAAATACTTATTTTACACCATAATTTGCAAATAAATTCATTAAAAATCCTACAATGTGATTTTCTGGATTTCTTTTTCTCATTTTGTCTGT